GCCTAGCGGAATCGTGAGTCAGTGCACTACACAGTCGAGCAAGTTCGTGAACTTAGAACAACCAAAATTGGAGCATTTTGACAAAATCTTTAGAAAAAATCGAATATTTTGCCTGTTACAGGTGTTCGTTTTTCCTAGAAGTCGGATAGGGGGTTCCACTGGAGAAAAGGGGCTAAATAAGGGTCACTGAAAGATGAATCAATAGACGAGAATTTGCCATTGAAAGCATTGAATCTAGTGCTGCGACCATCATTTAGTTGCATGAGACCATTATTGTCAAATATGTTTTCTAGCTCCATGCCGTATCTTTCAAGATCCCCAGCATATATTATGACAACTAGAATCCCCTATTATGATTCTGAGCGTGGGAATTTGTAGTAGTAGAGACTCTATTGTGGTAACGTCTATATCTTCTGGGTGTGGTAGGTATATAGCAGATATGAATGGTTGTGTAGTATGTGATCGAAACGGAAACAGCTTCCAGATCTGTAGTAATGGGGAGACTTTTTGCTTGTATAGAGGTTTTGATAAATATTGCTACCCCTCCTTGATTTGGTCTGTTTTTGTAAAAGCTAGAGTAGTGTCTGAGTGTGTGGGTGTGATTATCATTCTTGAGGTGGGTTTCTTGCAAGCACATTACATATGGATTATTTTCAAGTTGAGCATTTCTTTATGGGTATGGTACCCATTTAGGTTCCCCTGAATTAGGAACATGAAAAGTATAGTATGTTGAAAAGGAGGATCCCAAGACTTCGCCATCAGATGATTCTAGATCCTTTTCTTCACTGTTTTTAGATGATAAGTTTTCTAGATGTTTCGATATTTTCTTTCTGATTCTGGTAAGTTTTATTTTTGTACTCCTGACCTTTAAATGTGAGTATAGTTCAGCCAAAAATTGGTTCATGTCCGGTATGCTATTTGTGTAGCTTCTAAACGTGGCTATTATATCTTTGAACTATGTATTTTCTATCATATACGATACTTCTGATACGTTTAGCTTAGTTGATGTAAACCGCGAGCTTATGTCGTTTAGGTTTCTTATGATACACAGTTGTCTTGTGTGGCTGTAGCCATGTTTAAGTTCAATATATTGGTTTTGTTTTGTACATTAGATGAGTCTAATTCCATTCTTGTTTCGGTGTGTTCATATCTGGCTTGTGATTTGAGGCATTTATCTAATATATGTCCAGTCTCCTTGTAAAAAGTACAGCTTGGTCCGTCTACGGAGAAAAATATCCTGTCTGTCGTTTCCTCAAAGATAGTAGTGGTAGACTCTACGATTACACTAACAGGAGGTGCAATATACACTTGTCGACGGAAACTGAGAATATGATTGTATTCATTTTCAGGCATGCCAACTCGGAGGTAAGTTATGCGAGAGTGTAGGTTCAGGCCCATAGTTGGTAGTGAACCTTCAATAATGTTGTTTGGCTCAGACGGACAGACATTTGAAATATCTAGCCTATGAGCAGGCATAACAAGTCGTCTTATTTCGTTATCCTGAATTTTTATGAACTTGTGTAATTGTTTTGTCGACACTATCAGTGTTACTCAGATACATTCAGATTCGGCCGTTAGCAATTCTTGATGCGAACAGTATTTTTATGGGCCATAGAATCGAGCCAATTGCAATAATATAATCATGAATTTTTATCCCATCTACTGCTATTAGGAGAATCGCTTGATTTTTTGATCGTGTTTTGCTGACACGCTGCTGAAGGAGTATGATGCTGAAGTAGTTGTACTGTTTCTATTATAACATGTTGAGCCATGTTGTGATAGTTTTAGCGTGATGCTGGTTGAGAAATTCTGGAGCCGGTCCTGGCAATGCTGATCGAACTCGTGATCGCGTGGATCTATGTGCAGTGCGGCTGACCATACCGCACCGGAGTTTGTTTACGTTTAGCGATATGCGAAAAGTTGGGAAATCTCGGAACTGGAGATACTACAGACCAAAATCTGTAAATTGACCTAAACATACCTAAGTCCAAAAGTTGATAGTTTGCGACGAACAGGGTGTTAAAGTTACAACTTTATTTTCTATTTTTCGTTATTGCTTGATATATATTCCAGATTTTTGCATGAAAATCCCTTTTTTTATGACCAAACTTCTAGAGGGCACTATTTTGGTAAATAACTCATAATAACTTTGCTGTGCTACCCTGTATATAACAACTGGCCGAAAAATCTTATTTGCCCGTATTTCCGCAAGATAACTTGCTAGAAATGTCTAAAGCTAATAGCTTTCGAGATATTTGTTTTTAAAAGTTCCAATAAATTATTTGTACCATAATCATAAAACATTTTTCTAACATAATAATCAAGTTGCTTTGGATAATATCTGAGTAGCGTTGCTATGATTTCTGATGTTTGTCATAATGTTGCTTTAAACTTCAAGAATAATTTTAAGTTGGCAATAAGCTGTTAAAGATCATGGAGTATACGTTTGGTGAATATTCTGATATGCATTTAATGTACGGATAGTCAAGATGTAATGCTTTGAAAGCACGAAGATTGTACGCTGACAGATTTCCTAATAGATACCTGCCTAATTCAAAGGCTTTCCAACGAATCGATCAGCGGCTACGAGAACTGGTAAGAAATGATTATAGCCTTATTTTGAGTAGTAAAAACCATTTGGATTTATGGTAGTTTTGCTCAAAATATGGGCCGACATAGTGGAGCTCCCACAACTGTAGGTACAGCTGAAGTTGAAGAAAATCCTACAGTTGGGATTAGCAATGTGTCTGGAGAATTTGTGCAGTAAATACCATTTTTCAAGAGCAACTGCTCCATCCATACCACTTGCAAGAAGTACATGGCTTAAGCGCGGATGATGACTCCGCAAGGGTAGAATTTTGTACATGGCTCTTAAGCAGGTTTAACCACGACAATGGTTTCACTTCGTTAATACTATTTTCGGACGAAGCAAGATTTGGAAGGGATGGGCCCATTAAGTCGCATAATCTTTACATTTATGCAGACGAAAATCCTCATAAAATGATACAAACCCGCCACCAAGTACAGTTTTAAATTGATTTATGGGCAGGAACAATTGGACAATATTTAGTAGAGTCTAAATGTCCAAAGGTATTTGCAATTTCTTGAAAAACAATTAACCACTCTGCTGGAAGATCTTCCATTACAAACACGCATGAATATGTGATTTATGCACGACGGCGCTCCACCTCATTTTAGTATATTAGTTAGAGAGCACCTAAGTAGAGTTTACCTAGACCAGTGGATAAGCCGATCAGGACCTGTACCGAGGCCGGCTACACCAGATTTAAATCCTACGGATTTCTTCTTCTGGGGTGATTTAAAACGACGCGTTTACAATACGCCAGTGGAAACTGTAGATGATCTTCGACAAAGAATTTTCCACCATAGCCAGGAAATGAAAAATAACATCCAAATGCTTTGGAGAGTGCAGCAAGGATTAGTTCATCGAGCTCGAGAGTGTGTTAGGTAAGGTAGTGCTCATTTTACTTTTAAAAGCCATAGCAACACACTTCTAACAAGTAACCTTTTTTGTTGTGGAAGTACGAGAAAATAAGATTTTCAGTCAGTTGTGTATACAGGCAGCACAAAAAGGTTATGCTAAGTAATTTTCCGAAATAGTGCTGTAAGTGGCGCCCTCTAGAAGTTTGTCCATAAAAAAAACGGATTCTTGTTTCTCATACTGGAAAACCTTACTATACCGAGATTTATGCCGAGACCTGAAATACTTCTCAACCAATAAGAAAAAATAGAAAATAAAAATGTAACTTTGACACCCCTGTATCGCGCAAACTGTCAACTTTTGGACTTAGGTATGTTTAGGTCAATTCTCATATTTTGGTCCGTAGTATTTCCAGTTTCGAGATTTCTCAACCTTTCGCAGACCCCGTATCTTGCACTAATTTAAGGATTTCCACTTACTTGCTGTTTTTTTTGGTGACCGACGTCTTGGTGAGTGTTGGATTGGTGGGTGAACTTTTCAGTAAATAAATCGAACTAATAATTTTCATACAAGACACAGAGCACAGAGCACTAGATACTTCTTTTAAGTTAGACGGCCAGGACCGTCCTCCAATATTTCATCTGTTGTCATTGAGGTTTAACATTTGTATGCCTTTAATTCAAAAGTAGATTCAAATAATTATCTTTAGGAAGGAGTTCTACCACTTCTGCAATTTGATTTCATTCTTTATTTGACTTGCGGTTCTCTTATAGTCAAAAGTTTCCCAGACCTCCCGTTTTTTACTTAGCAAGCCTATCTTTTTAAGTTGGAAACCAGTTCGCGGACTGAGAATCGCTTCTGTATGCCTGATTAGTGTCACTGAGCGATGTACCCGCTATCAGCCTGCTTGACTTATTTACCATCTGCTACTGACCAGACTGCCCCTGCAGTTGTTAATAGAGAATCGTACTTAATTTGATGAAAATATATTATTTGGTTAGCCCGTCGCTGTATATTCAATCAACAACACAATTTGATAAAATGTTTAATCATCATTGATTTTCAATTGCACTACTAGTAGATTGAAACTGGTCGGGGTGATATTAAAATTGATTGTTACAACAAGTGCAGAGACGTGTATATGTTGTTCATCAAACATACATATTTTATTTACAGCAAATACAGTCAATATAAACAGACACTAATAGGGAACTTTGATATGATTTAAATATGGTATGAAATATCCAGTGCTAAACCACTTAACTTTGTCTGTAAAAAGAACTTTCTTATTAATTCTATATCGTATGCACATTATAATTTAAAACATAATTTTAAAAAAAATATGTGTTTGATTGTGGATTATCGGCTTTACAGGTAAATTAAAGCAAATATATTACAGATAAAATAAGGAAATTGTTCAAACAATGATACAAAAGCTAGCAAGCAACAATCTATGGAATGACATGTATTAAAAAGGACACCCCACATCTCAAACATGACTTATTCTCAAGCAACTGAGTTTATTGACCGCAAATATTACGCTATCCCTACTGCCACGTTAACAATCAAAGACTGCTATGCTTAATCTTCAGCAAATAGTACCTAACTTATTTTTACAGGATAACTACAATGTTCTTCATATATCTGCTATGTACTCCAGGGAAGATGTAGTGAAACTGCTTCTCACTAAAAAAGGGGTTGACGTCTACTCGACTGGAGGGGTAAGGATCAATTTCATATTATCGCCTACTCATGGCCTATAATAAACCATTTTTTTGTTATAGCTCATCATTTAAAGATGGTTTGGACATAGACAATAATAATAATAATAATAATCAGTGGAGTAACCGAATATTTTTTGATATTTCAGAGCAGGAATCAAACGGCGGTGCACCTGGTTGCTTCCAGACAAACAGGTACAGCAACAGCTATTTTGAGAGCTTTGCTTCAAGCTGCTGGAAAAGATATAAGGCTTAAAGCTGATGGGGTGAGTTTATTTTTTTCTTCCAATGCTCAGATAATTTATACCTGATTATAAAATCGTTCCGGACCATATAGAAAGGCAAGATTCCGCTACTGCTTGCCGTGGAAGCTGGAAACCAATCAATGTGCAGGGAACTGTTGAGCACATTGACGTCAGAACAACTGAAAGCTGCTTCTGCAAATGGTGATACTGCTCTTCATCTGGCTGTCAGGAGGAAAGATATAGATATGGTAAGAAACTTGTCACTTGGACGCATAACTTGCTTATGGCCGTTTGTAACAACTTGCGATCACCTGTATGATAGATGAGATAACAAACAAGTCTACCATGTTCCAGGTACAGAGTTTTGGGGATAAGGGACGTGCGCATGTAGACATTTTTAGTATCTTCATTCCATTTATGTATTTCAGGGCAATGGAAACCTTCTTTATGATACCTGGTTCTAAGTTCTAGGTCGCGGCTGAGATGTTCTAGTATGTTCTAGTTATTACACGGGTAAATGAATCAGGTTTTTTTTGATAAAGGAGATACATTTCTCCAGATATGTCTCCTAACTTGATCCGTTCCTCTTCTACCGATCTAGCCAGTGTGGAGGTCAGATGTATCTCTACTGTATATTTATCTCATTTCGACAATGGAACTGTTTGTGTATATTATATTACATTTCAGACTCTCATTTTGGTTTCGGCCACGGAAAATATATTTCTAATTTTGCCAAGCTCTCGCGTGGATGTGTTATCAAAGAACTAACCTACATAGGTACATACATATAAGTAGACGTTAGTTAAGAGTTGCAGCCACATCGCTAAGTAGTTCAAGCCAGAGGGAAATGTGTCCTTTGTTCACGTCGAGCTTCCGGAATGTTTATTTTCTTCTTCGTGGTACTTGAGGACTGAGACGAGCAGTCCGAGAACCTGAGAAAGAGTCATTAACGCGTTCACTGCGGAGCCATTTTTTGAAATGAAATGCCCTGAATGATTTTACTAAGCACATGTGTTCGGTACCGTCCATACCCGTTGGTGCGGTACCAACCACATATATCTGGTAAACAGCCTCCAATGAAATGAGCTGTAATTTATTAGAACGTCTCAAGACTAAAAATTATAATAGAGTCGCACATAGACTGGGAAACATTTAATGAAGTACCAGGAGCAAAAGTTGCGCTTTATTTATAGGCATGTAAAAAGGAACCATATCATCAGTATCATGCATCTTACGCTCTAGTGAAGTCGGAATGAGTTTCGTAAAGCAAGGAAGATACATTACTGGCTTTTTTTGGCAGACTGTACAAAACGTGTTAACTCTTGCTGGTTTTCTCTATTACATTTTAGTCTTATTTTATTATAGCACGTGCTTTCTGCCAAGGACTCTTTGTGGGAGAAAAGTATGTACCCTTTCTAGGATAAGAGTATCCATTGTCTTTTGGTTACCTCCTGTCAACACGAATGCCAATTTCTCTCGGAATCGAAACTTGGTTTTAACGTCATTTTAGGTGCTAACAATTGATACCAAAATTAACTTCAAAGGTGCTTTCTCTTACGGTATAATGAAAAATATGGACTACCTTTTTGGCTTCATTAAAAATTTAAGTACCAGACACATGCGTTCTGTAACGCGCAGTATTGATAACATATTCGTCCAGATATCCAGTACGTATTATCGTAACGTTTGATGATGACTTGTACTTTACGACATATTACTTTGGCTGCTGGGTGAAAGACGGCAAAAGTAGCCTTTGGCAGAACGAAATATACTATACCAATCTCATGTACTCGTATCTGACAATGCAGTGATCGTGTTAATTATCCAGTAGCCATCGACCAGGTCCCAATTTAAAATTTCGAAACATAACTTGAAAAGTACAGTATGTGTGAAGTAATATCTGAAAAGAGAAAACCTAAATGCTCAAAATGCCGGTTATTTGTTCTCTTTCCAAATATTGATAGATATAACGTAAGTTTCATGTTTTTACCTATACATCTGTTGAAGTTCTTATATGAGCAATGTTTTTTCTCCGTTTTTCTTTATTGCCTGTCTTGGATGAAGCCTGCAACATTTACGCCCTAAAGATGAAAATAAATATTACAAAAGCACGACATGAACAACGAACAAACTCTATTTCTTCCTAAATCTTTCTTGTACTGTGGCTGCCACCTCTAGGTATTTTTACTTGTATAGGTATAGCTGTACTCCAAGAAGTTTATTCGCTAGTCGAAAACATAGCTCAAATTTAAAAACTATGGCGACGACTACTCTTTGAGACCAAGAAGTTCAGATACTTACTAGGGATGCACCGAGTACTACTTTCTACCTTATTCAAAAGCCGAGTAATGGGTACCTAGTGGATTACTCGGTCGGATACCCTGTAGAGTGATTTGTTTTGGATTTTTTCAGCTACTGTTAGTGATATTCAGAACATGTTTACGTTTTTGAAAGGTTCCCTTATTCTCAAAGTTGATTCACCTTTCCAGGAAGCTACACACCGCAATTGCACAGTTTAGAAAATTTGTGTGAGTAAACCATACGATTTGATTGTTCAAATATATAAATGCAAGAGCTAGGCATATGTTCCACATCTACAATATTGACTTAAAATTGAAACTAGATTTTGACATTACTTACATTTTTGAAACGATTGTTCTTGATATACTTTTCAGTTCCTCTTCTTATGAAAGACGCACCTATAGTTGCTGCTGTATTATGGTCATCGCGAACACCGAATATAAATCCTATAGGTCTTTGAGCTGGATTTGGACAGGGGTTATAATTTGAATCCAGGAAGCGCTGAGTCTAAATTCTCTTTATTGAGGAGGGCCCTTGCAAAAACGTGAAATACTCATTACTCTTGTTACCCTTTCACTTTTGCTGCATTATTTTACTTTGGTTTGTGGTATTTGTTGTCTTTGAGTGTTCATATGAAAGATAAAGAGAAAATGAAAAGAAACTATAATGCGGTTTCAGTTTAACCTACTATAGTGCCTGCTCCATAAACTACCGAATTTATTATGAAAAAATATGTAGTAGTAACACCTTGTATATGAAAAATAAGCAGCGCTAATACCAACTTACTGAAGAAGGCAATCGATATTCACTAAAAAATGATCCAAATCATCCAAACGATTTCGGTAAAGAATATGCTGTGACTTTGGTTGTTTTTTTGTTGGCGGTGGGTTAATTTCTCAGAGAACATAAGAGGAAGGCTTGGGAAAGGCATATCAGCACATCTTCAATTCTTTGATTCAGAAAAGTTGTGCGAGTAACTACCCGGCCGAGTTTTATAATATACAGTGCATCTTGATATATACTTTTGTTAATAACAATTACTACGCCTTTTGAAAAAAGTATTTCCATATTTCAAGTCCTTTCGTTCTGGCAAGCCTGATCAATATTCGGATTATGGTATGGCACTGTTCCAGACCCTAGGTATTCACAATGAAAATTATATAGTTTTGATATAAACAATTATGAGTTGGGTTGAAGTATCACCAGAAGAAATCATTATGGAATGGCGCATCTTGAAGCTGTGTGATAAAATAGAGAAGCAAGTAACCCTACTTTTGCCGGAACATTCGCCTTTTTCTAAAAAAAGGTTTACAAGTCAAAATATGGTGGAAGTGCAATATTTAACTCGTTCCTCTTGACACAGCTAGAACCTCAAATATTTTGTTTGTATCTTTATGTATGTTATTACTTTCTTTTTTACAGGTCAGAATACTTGTAGATTATGGAACAAGCGTGGATATTAGGAATGGAGAAGGCCAGACTCCACTTCATATAGCTGCAGCTGAGGGAGATGAACTTCTGGTCAAATATTTTTATGGTGTCAGAGCCTCAGCTAGTGTGACAGACAATCAGGATCGAACTCCAATGCATTTAGGTACAAAGGCAAATCTTTTTCCTTCAAGTTAACTGAATAGCAGGGGAAGCATTATGAATATATTTATTTCCACCGTTTGGCATTCTTGTTTTTCTTATCATGGAATTATCACAAGATTCTTTGTCATATAATGTATACACATGCAGAATGAACTTGGACTCTGAAGAACATTTGTATTAAATGTCAATTAATTACTTCAAAGAAAGGCAAAGACGCAAATTACGACGGAACGCAGTGTAAATAAAGATGGAGTTTGTTATTTTTCTCTCTTAGGTATTATTTCATCATTTGATAATGTACTCGTAAAATGCAAACAATTTATAAAACGGACTTACTACTAACTGTCTCAGCGCTTCACCTCATGTGTGAAATTTTATAGAACGTATTAAAGAAATATATAAATAGGAAACACAATTTTTATACTTACATTGTCTTTCTTTTTAAAACCCACACTGCACTTTTTTGTATATAAAGAAGGTGTTCAAAATGTCGTTCTCCACTTTCCACACAAGCTTCATTAGGACGAACCCAGTTTCTTCTTACTCTAGGTCCTCGAAGTTGTCCATTTATTATTTCAGCCGCATCAAGTTGTTATTGGACCAGCTCCATAAACCATCCCTTTAAGTTCTTCCCAATACCAGAAATCCATCGGATTGAGGTCAGAAGACCTTGCTGGCCATTCTCGAGGATCAGGTGCATTTCGACCGATCCAGCGATTTGGATAATGTTCATTCAAATACTGAATGACGCCTCTAAAAATGTGTGGTGGTGCCCCGTCACGAAGAAACTAAAAATTCTGTCTCGGTTGTAATGGCATGTTGTCTAAGGTCTGTTCCAAAAGTTCTGGTAGGTTATTGGCTAGAAAACTAAGGTATCCTTCTCCTGACAACTTTGGGGGTAACTCGAAAGGACCAATTACCTGATCGTCAAGAATATCGGCCCAAATATTTATTTTAAAACGTTGTTGGAAGTGACCTTCACGAATGGTATGAGGATTTTCTTGGGCCCACGTGTGAGTATTATGGAAATTCAATATCCCGTCTCGCGTAAAGGTACATTCGTCCGTCGCTACAATGTTTTTAAAAAAATCCGGATTGTCAATGTTTTTGTGCAAAAACCACTGACAGAATGTTAGTCTGCGAGGATAGCCTTCTGGTAACAAGGCCTGCACTCGTTGTACATGGTAGGGATAAAGCAAATTTTCCCGTAGGATTCTATGGACTATGGTATGCGATAGTCCTACGCGGCGTCCTAATTCCCGAGTGCTGATCTCTGCTTTGATTTCCACGATATTTAAAATTTGTTCCTGTCTTTCACGAGTGCGAATATTAGTGGGCTGAACACTTCCTGTATCTCGAAGTCTTTGGTACACTTGCACAAATGTCCTTCTGTATGGGTGTACCCGTTGGCGAAATCTGTCGCGAAAAATTTGAGCTGCAAGATTTGAATTCTGTCGAGCTTCACCGTAAACTGGCAACATGTCGGCGAACTCTTGATTCGAGAACATTGTAAATAAGCACGACGACGTACGCGAACAGTAACTAACTACTGTTACCCTTGGAGATCGATTGCCGGTTCGTTAAGAGTGATAAACGACAGACGCGCTGTTGTCATGTGTGTTTTAAATATTTTATTTAATGAAACTCACTTACTTACTGACTACAAATTTTGGCTTAACTTAAAAAAACTTAATGTCATTTATTTGTTGGTAACCCAATTTAAAAACGTTTCAGATTAGATTATAAAAATTGGTAAGATTGTGGTGATTGTCGTTGATCTAAACCATTTAGACAAAAATCTATTGACTTTTGGACCATTTAACGTATTAATTTTTGACTTGTTTGTACCCCCCCTATTACCCATTTCAATAATGACTACCATAACGTTAACTCCCTGTATATGTCAGAAAGAGATAGATGTTGGCTGAATGGCGAAGGTCATCACCATATTGCCTTGCAACGGTGTACGCGGAAGGTCGTGCAATCTGCCGGGTCGGCAATATGTTATACCAGAAAATGTTCGCACAGGTTTCTACAATAGGTTAGGTAACTGTCAAACCCAAGAAGGAGGTCCGTTCTGATATTTAATTTAATATTTTGCTCTAATTTTGATTACAATTATTTATTTCAAGTCTGATGCAGCTTAATGTCTTAATTTATCTTTGATTTTCACCGATGGTGACAAAATCAACATATGCTGCGTTATTTTTTACGTTTTGTGGAAAATTTAACACGTTGACTGCTATATCGGTCTCCCGAGACCGTTATCAAACTTCATTTTGATGCGGAGCTGTTTTTTTAAATTTCGTTTTGGTGCGGAATGCATATTTCCCTTAATATACAAGTTATAACTGCGAGACATGTAGCCATAAGATTGTGAGAACTTGTATAGACAGAAAATTGTATAAAATAATTAGTGGAGAGCGTTATAGGTCTCCGGAGGCCTATGTATAATCATACGAACAAACGTGTCTGATCCTGTTTCGCCGTCATTTGTGTACCGAATGCGAGCGAGTGAAGTTGTGTATTGGGTTCACTCACCAAAAATGTTTTCTTCTCGCGTTAAGGAAATTGTGAAAATAACTAAAGATCTACAAGATACTGGAGCAGTGCCCACAAATCCTGGTAGACAAGCAAATATACCTGAAAATAAAATTGAAATTGTTGAAGCAGAGTTATCAGACGACGGAGAACAAACAAATAATCCTTGGAACAACTTATGTAAGTGGAGACGAATTTTCCGACCTTGGGAGTGATGATTCTATCATAGATAAAGACTATTATCCATCTTCATCAGATTCTGATGAAAATCCACATAATCGGTTTGATGATACAATTGAAGCTATATATTTCTAACAAAATGCCTGTTTCTGTTAAAATTAGTTCATCTAGGTAGTGCCGCAAAGGTCGATGATTCCGATTCAGATACAGCTAATGATAGTGAAGCTTATGACACCATAGATAATGAAAATGGAAAGATGCCGTCTTTTGTGCTGGATACTAATAATTGGCAAGTTAGGGCAGTTACCTTTCAACATCTGTACTGAGTAGCCAGAACTTAATTTTGACGTGAGTCCACTGGATGCCTACAAACTTTTTGTGACAGACTGAACTTTGGCACATCATTGTTGAAGAGACGAACAGATTCGCCCAACAAAGCTTAGCAGGACGTAGGAATTCGAAGTCCAGGTTACATGTTTGGGTGGACACAGATACAAACGAGCTCATGCGTTTTTTCTCAGTTATTCTAGTAATGGGTTTTAACTCGTTTCCGTCAGTTAATTCCTACTGGTCAAAAGATCCTATGTTCAGAAATGAGTTTATAGCAAAGACAATATCACGTGATAGATTTCTCCTTACTTCGATGTTTACATTTTTGCAACAACGAAGACCCATTTTTGTATACTAACGACCGGTCGTACAAAATCAGAACAGTATTGGGAGTACTTAGCAGGAACTTTCAAAATGTTCTAACTCCTGGCAGAATTCTGGTTATCGACGAGTCAATGGTTCCTTTCAGACGTCGATTAAAATTTCGCCAGTATATTCCCAATAAAACGCACAAGTATGGTGTCAAACTATATAAATTATGTGCTGTTGATGGATACACAAACAAGTTATTAGATATACAGCAAAAAATGAAAAGGTTGAAGGCCAACAGCATGCAGAAACGATGGTTTTAGAACTGCTAAAATCCATAAAAGCTAAAGAAGGACATTATCTTTTTGCAGCTTACCTTTAGCTAAAAAACTATTGTCTACTGCGGAACACTACGTGCAAATATTAAAGAAATCCCAAAATTTATCCAAAAAGTTGAAAAAGGTATGGTCAACAAGATGGATTACTCAATACAAATTATCAATGACTTCGTGTAAGCAGGTTAAAACCATTTCGCAGTGATGAGCTTTGCTATCCAGCAGGTTTCTATCTCTTTCTATCGTAAGTGTCTATATACACTTCTCTCTCGTACACATTGAACTCAAGCCGTCAGAAAAATTTTGTTTTCAGTGTGTATACTCTACATTGGAAAGTCACCCAAGAAATGTACACAAAAACTGAAGCGTGCTAGATCTTTAAGAATGTCTTCCGTGATCTACATATATACTATATTTCAATATACATTACGTCGCATAGAAAAAAGGACACCTGGTTATTACTAACGATAACTAAGATTTTCTAGGTATATGTTTGTTTGGTTAGGATAACCATACCCATGAAGTGGTTTTTATTGTATCTTCTGTTATAGAAAAAAGTAAGTAAGCGATAGTTGTGTTTTGTGGCAATTGTCGTACAGTACGTTGTGAAGAGCTGCTTTAATCTGTTCATTAATTAAACGAGAATATGTTGTACAGCTTAGCGAGTTTGATAGGAGGCAAATATGTGGGCTTGGGTGAGGACGGTTCGTCCTTTAGATAAATAGCCACTAGGCTGCACAGTTCTAAATTCGGTTATGGTTTATTTTCTGGTATGGAATCAGGAAGGACGTACATGAAAAGTTAGAGCTATAGGGCGTGTCAGAAGAATGGTCATACACCAAGATCGTCGTCTTGGGCTTTTGGCTCTACAGGACCGCTTCTCGTCCACAAGGTCTATTGCGGACCAGTGGTTTGGAGAGCACCAAGAGCCAACTGAAATGCAAGCTGTTTATCAACTTCAGTATGTCCTATCTTTCACCCCTGAGCAGCGAATGAAATGTCATTGTCTTGAGTGATAAGTTCAGATTCTGTTTGGAAATGCATGATGGCTATACCAAGATGGGAAAACACGGTGGAAGATAAAAATCCTAATTTTCTATGGAAACACATCTTTACCATGCTGTAGTAATTATGGTATTGAGGGCTGTTGGTGCACACCATGACCGCTGTGAGTTGCACCAAGGAGGTGAGGAAGCCACCTGTTTTGCATTGTAGATCGACGCTCACCAACCAGCATAGTTTTACAACAGGACACCGCAAATATAGCCAGAGTTACGTTGGTCTATTTTCAAGACAATCAAGCCTACTTGTTTCCTTGGCCTCTATATCTCCCGATCTCACACCTCAAGAGGAAATCGATCATATCGTCGGTCTCCGCACGTACAGGGGTAAATGGCAAATAATCTAAAATCGAGTTACGTTGTAATTTTACAGATTTTTTTGTAGTCTCTTACTTCACGAAGTGACGTAGCTGTATATCAGTTCGCTGCTAAGAATTAAAATTTTCAGAAAATTGCCTAAGTTATAAAATTCCGAAAACAATTTTCACGTACTGGCTTAAATAGATTTACGCCTCTGCATTAAAACTGGTTCTACATCATTTTAGTCTAACAAAAAAAACGCAACGTTCAGACTAAAAAATCAGCATGTCATTTTCAATCTCATTTATCGCTGGTTTTCGTTTACGAGCTCTCCTGTAAAATTTGTAAAATGTTAGTTACGCCGGTACTTGCGATGACCGACGATATGATTAGGAGCATGACTGGACAAATTTTTGGATGCAACTTATTTTTTTACATTTTTTCAACTGTTGCACTTTTCTGAAATTTTGATTAATTAGTCACCCGAACATATGATATGTATACAAGAAACTCTTGTACTATTCAATAAATTAATAACTACTTTGTATACTGTCTTCTTTATCACTTTTAGTGTACGTAAATCGGCAACTAATTTCTCAAAACCACTAAGAAAACATTTTCTTTGACGAATAATATTCATATAGCTGCCTTACTATTTTTGGACATAAACACAAAAAGAGCAAATGATAAATTGTCTTTTCAAACCACTCTGAAATCTCTTGCAGTAGTAAAAGGTCACTATTTTATGAAGTTTGCTGATAAAATAGATTGGCTTCAATCAAAGTTTACATGTTAGTTTTCTATGCAAGCAAAGTTTGAAAATAAACAACATGCTTTCTCTGTGTCTATATTGTAGCTGCAGAAAATGGTCACGCGAACATCATAGAGCTACTGGCTGATAAATTCAAGGCCAGTATTTTTGAGAGAACTAAGGATGGGTCTACACTGATGCATATCGCCTCGTTGAATGGCCATGCGGACTGCGCAATGATGTTGTTCAAGAAGGGAGTTTATCTTCATATGCCAAACAAGGTAAGTGGATTAGGTTTGGAGGATAATGAAAGGATCAAAGAGATGTTGAAGAGGACGTTAGTAGGAATGTTCAGAAAGCATAATTTTATTTTTGCATTTACCAATCTATCGAACAAATTAACTGAGGCACATATGATACAGCAAACTGATTCATAAATCTAGGGAGAGGATTTTGCTCCTTCCTTAGGCGGGATATTGTATACTTTCCAGGTTTACATGCTCAGTTACAGACGTAAGATAAGCCTCAGCTGAGTGCTGGTTGCATGACATATATAGTCAACGCCAAACAAAGTGACGTGCACGTCATCAAGGTGGGTGTGTTGAAAAATTTACATTGTTGCCAAACTTTTTGTAAAATAATAAAATTTATTATTTTCATATCTAGGTTTATAAGCAATATTAACCTCAAATGAGAACAAAAATAATAGTATAATAAAATTATAGATCTGTACTTGCATAATCATTAAGTATGACAATTATTGATCAGATGACACTATGAAACTACCATATTTAATTGATAGCTATTTTACAGAATTCATACAGAAAAATGCATTCTAAAATTAGGTAAGCTACTGGTGTAAGCTTTTTCTGTACAATAAAGTTAGTCGGAGTTTCTTTCTTCAGCGCTGTCTGAATCTGAATCTTCATCACTCTCAAAGTTGATTATTAAAGGTTCGATGTCTGGTCGATCAAAAATTCGTCCTCTTTCATACCATTTAAAAATTTCTTGCTCAGTATGTCGAACACTATTTTTCGACATGTCTGGGGTAACCGTTTGTAGAGCCTCGTTCCACATATCCAAACAGTCTTTTTCACTGTTACCATCTCTACCAATATGTCTGTTATAGTAACCTTTTGCTATGCCCCAAATTAACTCAATAGGGTTAAATATACAATGGTAAGGAGGCAGACGAAGAACTTTGTGCCCATGTTGTTCCGCCAATTCATCAATCACGTATATTTTAGGTGGTTTGTTTCTAAAAAAGCAGTTATTTTAAGAATAGGAATAAACAAAAGAAATATAAACTGTCGACCAAAATATATATAATTAAGAAGCATTATGTACCGAGCAACAATACTCAATAGCTCTGTTTTAAACATTGTGTTTAAAAATGGTATGTTTTGATTTGTCAACCAGTCTTGGATATTTTTTTTTGTCCATGCATTGTTGGGCACTTTGTTCAATATCATGCTGTGATAAGGGGCGTTATCCAGTATAATCATAGATGGACTCTCCAATTTTTCTAATAACTGATGTTGAAACCATTTCAAAAAATTGTCCTGGTTCATCTCTCCATGGTAATCGCTCAATTTTGTTTTCGAAGAAAATATCGCTTCACTACCCTCAATAAACCCATTTTCATTTCCAGCATGTAATATAATGTATCTAAAATATATTAGTTTTAAATTTTATAGTGCAAATTGTGTAAAAGTACATACCTTTTACCATCTGTTTTAATAGCTTTCACGCTTTTTTGGTTTCCATTTTGCCAAGAGCGACCTATGGTCCCATTTTGAAATATCCAAGTTTCATCGAGGAAGACAAACTGGTATAAGGCCTCAACCTTGGCTTGATTGTATTGCCTTAGAAATTCCACCCTTTTCAAAGCTATACTTGGTAGTTCCATGAGCCCTCGTCGCGGATTGTCCTTAAGCCACTTAAATCCAAGATCTCTAAGCAACCGCCTTAAAGACGTGGCACTACCATCAAATAATGCCCTATCTCTTAATCGAGACCATAAAGTTTGTATCGTAACTTGTTCTTCTGAAACCATGTGTAATATGACATTATAATTTAGTTAACAAATTAATGCAAATTTCTGATAAGTTATTATAATAAGATCTTACTTTTGTGATACATATTATAGATCACTTCTCGAATGGCACTTGTATCCAATGTCGCTGTGTTGGTTACACGTTTAATATAACTCCGCTTTTTCTTGGGCGATTCTAAATTTCCATCACTTTTCACACCCTCGGAAATACGACTAACTGTCCTTAAACTAATTTTTAAAGCAGCAGCAACACGCTACAAAAAATGAAATAAAATTTCACTATTATTAATATACATTACATATAATTATTAGTAACCTACCTCTTGAACAGCATTTAAAGGCAACAAAGGCCCGTTGTTGTCCCTTTCTTGCTCAAAGTAGTGCATTAACGAGGCCACGAGTTCCTTACACCGACTATTTAACTGTTTGGGCATCTTTATATACCAAAATTGCCTTTATCTACTCGTAAAATGAATAATTTTGTTTTGAAACAAACAGTTGTTGATTTACAGTATGCGGGGCCAAAGGATTTATAAAGATTTGAAATGCCACAAATTGATTCAGTGTCAAAATTAATACAAATGTCAGTTCCCAGTTTAAATAAGTTTCAAGGTGACAATGTGTCAACGCTGCGAAATCGGTTTAGTGCGTTTACATGTCGATAAGTGATTGGAGCGTTTGCAAAACATTTTATTTCGCATAATGCGTCTAAATTTATCAGAAAGCAACTTATGTGATATTTTAATAACAATGTTTATATGACTATTAACCATAATAAGAGAGTAATGACCATTTTACAATTTATATATCACATTAATATGAAACTGCAATAGAGCAATTGTTTGTGATAGAAACCTAGGCATTAGGTCGGGGAATTTTTATCGTGATGACGTGCACGCCACTTTGTTTGGCGTTGACTATACATAGTGCTAAGCCTGTACAAGCTCTCTGTTGAAACCATGGCTCATCTCGTAATCACCCACCAATTGACGCCTGCGATAGGTACAGTTTTAGCAGATTCTAGTGTGCTTAGAGTAATGGATCTTCTGTCATATTTTCACCTGGTCACTCTACTTCGTCAGCTTTTTTATAGTCTATACAAGATACAATATCGCAAAATGAACTACTAGGCATCTTTCAATTTTTTGCAAGGGAAAGCTTGTTATTTTCAAAGAGTGATCAACAACCAAACAAACGTTATTTTTAACTTCAAAAGGTGTAATGTCTTTCATTTACCTTAACATCCGGTTTACAAAAAGGTTAGATGTAAGTGAAGAGCCGTTCGTGGTCGTACAATCTCAGAAGCCTTATATCTAAAGACCACTCGTGGTAAGGGGAATCACAAAATCTATGAATATTTAGGATGTTCCACTCAAAAAATTCGAGTAGTTCATTTTGCATTCCGTTTACGAAAAGCAAAATATAAAAAGAGAAATTTCGATGCTCTCGGCAATATTAAAACTTCATATTGCTTTTTGGGGTAGAAAATAGCATATTTTGCACTTTTTGAAATATTATATCGCTTATAGCTTATATCAACTTCCGACAAAAGCTTTGTTCAGAATGTCCTAACAAATCTTAATGCATTCACCTAAGCGAAGAAACCAGTTTTTGGAATATTTAAAAAATTGTCAGAAGAGCTTTGTCGCAAATTTAGTCTTGGTAAAATGTCGATTCATTTATATGTGTCATTTTCTAATAGGTTTATTCAGAAAAAATTCTACCTCGTCTGTCTATTGAATTCAGTATTAATGTCTCCAAACCAAGCCAGACTGCTTGGAAGCCATTTGAGTGAGGATTGGCATACATCCTTTTCTATGTAATTCGTCAACTTTATAACTTCTTTTTATTATCTCCGTAGGATGGTGCCAGGAGCATCCACACAGCTGCCCGATACGGCCACGTGGGGATAATCAACACGCTGCTGCAGAAAGGCGAAAAAGTAGACGTCACCACCAACGTGAGTTTTACAAGTGAACTTTGCCGCGATAATTTATGGGCGCCGCCTTTTCCTGAATAATTCACTGGTTTACAAGTCCTCCGGACGCTGTTAAAACACTCGTGGCTGAATGAACTTAGAAAATGGACTGCCGCCCAGTTGAAGAAGTTTGGGATATCTTTATACTGCTGACAGGGTTTTTTGGGGGGTAATTGTATTCCATTTTATGGTGGTGGAATACGAAAATTAAGCGAAAGTGACTGAATAAGTTTAAAGGTGCGAAAAGGTGGCGTTATTTTTTTTAATAATTTTTAGACGTAGTAGAGACAACATGACTCGCCTAGTCTGCAAAACGAACGCATTTCATTACACAGCGAGATTTAGTAGTTCTTCTTAAAATGAAAAGCCTGGTGGAATGGTTGTAAGGCGAAATGTGAAACTCTCTAGCTCGCTGAAACACACATACCCTGTGAGGCTCTTCAAGCTGATAGATTGTGTACAATCATTGTATTGTCTACATTTAGTTTGTGGACACTAGAGTTATTTCGGATGGTATTTCTTTCTATTAAAGTTGTACCCGTTTAGTTTAAGTACCTTGCCTTCATTTATAGTCTTACAATGTACCTATAACCAGTATCATATTAGGACTGTGTCTTAACTGGGCACCATTTTGTTATTGTTTGTTATTGATCTAAACAGTACAATAAACAGCTAAAAGCATGTTTTTAGATCGTATAATTTTTACCTGGTAATGCTAAGCATCTCTCACTTTACACATTCAAACCATACATACCTACCCCCGACTTGAAAGATAGATAGCAAATGTGGGCCCCTTTAGTCCACTTATTGAAAAAAATTGAACCCAAACATAGTCACGCATGGTTCATGTGATCAGTGCCACTGCTCCTTTGTTCTTTCAAGCTGCTTGATACCCTATCTGGCGGTATTCAAATGAAACAAACCGGATTGATAAGGTATCTCCAATCGCTTTCTAATTGCACTACGCTGCCATGTCGTTACACACCACGGTACCATCCAGCGGCGGCATTTTTTCTTTCTCTCGAGCTGTTGTTTACTAAACGGTTACGCTCCCCGTTTCTTGAAATATATCAACGTGCTGATCACGCACTGAACACGTGCGGATTATTATTTAAGTTAAATGTCTTTTTTGGATATTAAATTATATTTATCAGAAATTGTCAGCCATCAATTAGGGCGTTATTTTCAAGCAAGGATGTTGAATACAAAGCAGATACGTTGATACGCATTTTCTCGTCTGTTTTCTTCCATCCCATCATGTTGATTCCGAAAAACATCGAATGGTTTAGTCATCATAGCAAGATTATATTTTATTTTTATTGATTTCTCCCATCGTCGGTTTTGAACTCCAAAAGGATTTCAAAAGAATAGTAGGTTTGCGCCAAAATTTTGTTTATCCAATAAAATTTTAACCAGACCTCCCAACTAAACAATTTCATGCGAAAGACGAACTTAATATCTTGCTATGTAAGAAAATAATAAGTCCTTACTTATCCTACTTGCAAATATCCAGAAATTACGATGACAATTGCAGCATTGCGCAAAAACGCTTTTTGTTCACTATCAAAGCTTATAATGGTGAACGAGCAAGCAGGATATGACGTGACCAACGAGTGTGAACCACTACGTTGTGGTTGATACTGGAGCTACTATGTACAATAATTTATTTCCAGAAAATGCAGGGCCAACGAGACCACTTTAGTGGTGTGGCAAGTCCATGGCACTCCCCTCTGCTACATGCCTTGTTGCTTTCAAGTCATTTAATATTATGAGTTTACTGGCCAAATAAATTGTTAGATAAGTATTTTAACACATATCTAATATCCGTCGTCACTTTTGCCATAACTACGCTTCCATCTATGTCCATGTCTTTGCCTAGCCATATTTATAAATTCCTGATTCAACTCCGGCCCCCGAATTCAGCAGGATTAGCTTTCACTGATTTGCTTCTGTCTCTTCTCTTTATCCAGATACCAACACAAAAACATCTCATTTATTCCAAAAGTCAAATTCATTCCATTTACTAAAAGTTACTCTCCTAGTGTACTTGTCACTACCACCATCATTATGCATACAATTCGATCGCTGTATTCAATATAGAAAATAAGATTCCAAAATATATATCACCATGTTCGCTTTTTCAGTGTTTTCTTCAGTAAGCGTTTCTTTTCTTATACTGGGTACTGGTGTTCAACCTTTCGAGTTAACGAACGATCTGTGAAGCGTTTTTGATAAGCTTTGCCATAAAGGTTATTGGCAGTAGGTCTTCTTCGACATATATTTCCCATCAGGGTTTTCCATACTTAAGGCACATAATGGAATGGCGGGTAGTTTATGGACCTTTTCATATATGAAAATATAAAAAGCTCTAAGGTCAGTTTTTACGGAAATACATATGTATACGGATCTTTCTGAACACACCAAATCTTTGATATCACATATCTCAGACACTATTGAACCGATTTTGTTGATACGATAACAAACTTACCCAGAAGCAAAAAGAAGCTTGACGGATAGTTGAAAAATCCAGATCTGGGCTCCATTTTTCTATTTCTCGTTTTTATCGAAATCAACAGCTTTTAAGCTGAATATTGAGATGTTTTACAACGTACAAATAAGCCAATGGACAATGCTAATTAATTAGCAGAATAGATTGATTGTGCCACTTTTACATTTTCAGTTAAATATTTTCATTTCAAATAGCAAATAGCAGTTATATGTGACACAAAACCCAAAATGTAAGTGTTTCAACTTTATTTCATCGAAATTTTAATGAAGCAATGCTAACAATTAAATTAAAGTTGACTTGGGAACTCAAAATACCAGGATCTGAGTCGGTATTTTTATCTACATGTATAATAAATTATGTGCAACGCTCTGCACGTTATATAGTCAATTAATTACTCTTTCGTACAAAAAAAGAAACAAACAAGGGAAAATCATCGAAATAAGGTAGCACATTTATCAAAAATAATGTTATTGTTCTTATTTAGTGTAATTCTATCAACTGACTTCTGCTTAAAATGAGAATGGCATTTAATAACCAGTTGTACTCTGTTTCACTTTCTAGACCAGCTAAAGTTGAAAATCCAACATTAAACGTAATATGAAGGCCCGAACTAGACAATTCATTGTGCAAAATGTAACTAAATCTAACGTTATGCTGTGGTGAGAGCAGGTAAACATAGCTGTGCTGCGAATGCTGAGCCTGCATCTGCAGATTAGGATCCTCTAACTTTTCATCACAACCTTGAATTAAAATTACTGAAAAATCAAGTTAGGGAACACTTAGGGACGTATCGTCAGTCGTTCCTACAATTATAGGGTCTCCTTGATTTTTATAGTCTTTTCTCTACTTCAGAAGGGCCGAGTTATTTCTAGACTTTTCCTGATCCGTGTCAGCGTCAAAGCTTTCCGATGGTAGGCTATGTTTTCTTTTTGAATTGTAGAAAATTTCAGGCTGATATAACAGGAGATATAAATCAAAAGCTTGAACAAACAGGTATTTGTAACATAACCTCATCATAGAGCGCTGACATAATTGTATAAACGACTAACGATACGGCCCTAATTTTCCCATTTATTTATATCTGCGAAATAATAATAAATTGAGACAATAACTTACAGGGAATTGCACTTAATAAAATACAAGGAAATGTCCGGCCCTGGAATTTTGAGCTTACTAAATACCCTAAGTTTAATTTTGAACACTATCCTGAAATGCGTTGATGACTCTTGAAGTTTTGAGTTTTGAGTTTTGTACCTTATAAGCTGATAAAAGTCAGATATATATTAATGAATAGAAATGTTTAGCTAAAAAAAAAAAAAAGCGGTGCAACGAATCTATTTTGCTAGTTAATTAGCACGATTTATTGACTTTTTTGTACATAGTCAAATATTTCAACATTGACTACTAACTTTATTATCGTATGATTTTAACAAAACCTTAGCTTTGGGAACATTTTATAACATTCTTCGTAAAATTTTTAATATGTGTGTCCCTAGGACAAGTCTCAGATCTCTCAAATTTCCAGTTTGGTTTAACGGTGAAATGATTAGAGACATTAAAAGAAAAAATTTGCTACACAAAAAGTTTAAAAAGGATAAAAGTTTGATCACATACACTGAGTTCAAAGACTTAAGGACCAAAATTAAGCGCGATGAGCGTAACGCATATCAAAAATATCTAGTAGATATCCAAAGTAGACTATCTCAGGATCCGAACAATTTCTGGTCATGTATCTGTAATAAATGGGGACAAAATTCCACAATCAGCCAAGTAAACTATAATGGTAAGCAGTATGACAAACCCAATGAAATTGCTAATGCTTTTGCGCTATTTTTTCAATCTGTATATACTATGCCTTCGAACGCAACTGATATCAATATTTCGGACTTGCATACTAACATAATACTTCAGAGCTTTTCCGAAGAAGAAGTTTTTACAGTGTTAAAGCAAATGAAAAATAAATTTACCTCCGGACCCGATGGAATTCCATCATTTTTAGTGCGTGACTGTGCCTACGTCTTAGCTCATCCCTTGACAAAGATCTTCAACCTATGTTTAAACACTGACACGTTTCCTGAAATTTGGGGCGAATCAAAGGTGCGTCCCATTTTCAAGAAGGGTGATAGACTACAGGTTGAAAATTATAGACCGATAACCCTAGTATGTATCCTTTCCAAGACCTTAGAAACTTTACTTCATAATTTCCTATACCACAATACACATGCCCAAATAAGTACTTCTCAGCATGGCTTTATGAAGGGTAGATCAACCATAACTAACCTAGCCTGTTTTACTCAGTCAGTCTCCTCTGCATTAGATGCTAATAGCCAGGTGGATGTAATTTATACAGATTTTAGTAAAGCATTTGACAAACTTGATCACAGTATTCTGTTAACGAAGCTGAGCTATTTTGGATTCTCCCCCAAGCTGTTATCCTTTCTTAAGTCATACCTATCAGGAAGAAAGCAATATGTTGAATATGAGGGTGTCAAATATATCGAATTCTTCCCAACCTCAGGGGTACCTCAAGGCTCCTGCTTAGGTCCTTTGCTTTTCATACTATTCATAAACGATATTGTTAGCGACATCGACAGCAGCCACTTAATCTATGCTGATGATCTGAAAATTTTTTCCAATGTCGACTGCAGCACTGACTGTGCTCACTTACAAAAAGACCTAGCCAAAATAGTTAAATGGGGTGCTGTAAATCGACTTCCAATTAACTACAGTAAATGTAGTGTTATGTCTTACACCAGAAAGCTAGATATTATTGCATTTGACTACAGAATTGGCAATCATTCTCTGCTGAGAGTACAAGAATGCAAGGACCTGGGTGTGATTTTCGACATGTCACTTAGCTTCAATCCTCATATTGAGTACCTTATTAATGCTGTCAACAGATTATTAGGATTTGTAATACGTAACTCAAAGGAATTAAGTAACAAAGATGCCATGATTATGCTTTATAATTCATTCATACTGTCTAAATTAGAATATGGACGGCTAATATGGAATCCATGCTATGTTACAACTTGTGGCTCTCTGGAGAAGATTCAGCGGAAATTTCTGAAATTTCTTTCATTCAAAATTGACGGTACGTACCCACCCATTGGGGTCCCACAGGAAGACCTGTTACGTAAGCACAAGTTTATCAGTCTTGATAACAAAAGAAAGATTCACTCAATAATATTCCTGCATAAAGTAGTGCATAGCAGTTATGATTGTCCATCATTTCTAGCACAGATTAAATTTAATGCTCCAAAATTTGTTACTCGCAATACACTCACTTTTTACCTACCTACCCCACGAACTAACTTACTGTTGCAGTCACCTTTTTACTCGATGTGTTCATGTTATAATAGTCTACAGAGTACATTTGATTTGTTCAACACAAGTATTTCGAACATTAAGAGAGTTTGCAGTGAAATGATTTAGTTTTTAGTTTTAGTTGTATTTTTATATGTTTTTTTTACTATTTCAATTGTTGTTTTGCCACCAGTAATTGGTTAACACTGTTGGTGGTGGATTTCAATAAACAAAACCTGTTTAATGGTACCTGGGATATGTGATAATTGAGATAAACTCGTAAAAACTGAACTTAGAACCTTTTTATTTTCTGACATAAAAAGGTATCAATCCACACTACCTATCATTTCACTATGTTTGTTCAAGAACACAACACCTTATATAGTTCTGAACAGTCATTCTAGCCGCTTTTTCAGTGAGTTATCCAACATAGAAGCTCTAGTACTTCCTTTTACAAGAAAGCTAAATACTTGAAAGAAGTTACATTTTCACACCTGTTCGTTTGCCTTCCGTTTATCCGTCTCCAACGACTATACCGTACTGATGATTGCTAATAAGCACGAAACAAGTTTATACGCGATTGGCTATGGCTACAGTAAACGTAAAGCAAACACGTTCGGTTTAGCTAGTTACAACTGGCTGAACGCATAGACTCTATATACTTTTTTACCCAGGAAAACTACACAGCTCTCCACATAGCAGTGGAGGCAGGCAAACCGGCAGTTGTGGAAACTCTACTGGGCTATGGAGCTGATGTCCATGTGCGTGGAGGCAGGCTAAAGGAAACACCTCTGCATATAGCAGCGAGGGTGAAAGATGGTGAAAAATGTGCACTGATGTTACTCAAATCAGGGGCTGGGCCTAACTTAGCTACACACGACGGCAACACACCGGTACACGTAGCTGCTAAGTACGGGAATTTGCAAACACTTTTGCTGTTGCTGGAGGATAATGGAGATCCTTTGTGCAAGAATAAGGTGAGACTTGATAGCATCACAAATCTTTCTTTGGATATGTTCATCAAAATGTAACTGTAAATACAGTTTAGAAATTTTTAGTAGTATATCCAGCTCCTCGCCAAGGCACAGTGATCTAACCAGCAAAAATAATGGTGTATGTATACTTGATAATTCTCCATGTCTGTCTGGCCTCTCAACAAAACCATATATGCTCGTAGAAATACTGTTTACTAACGACGTTTCGCCAACCACGGTGGCCTTTTTTAAGTACGGGCGTATCTTAATTTAGTTACGTATCTTTAGCACTAAGCATTCCAACTCCTAACATACCCATTTTTACCACAGCCGGTCAAATGACCTCTTGTGGTAAAAACAGTACGACGACTTAGTATTATTAGTATTATTCAAAATAAACGGAATTAAAATCAATATAAACTTTTCATAATCAATAGAAACAATCATGAAGGCAATCCTGCAAAGACCATAAGATGATGCTTATCTTTAATTCAAAAGATTCTAACCAGTTGTTTGACCAGGGATTGGTATGATTAGTTTTTAAGGTAATACGAGTATATCCATCATAACTTGTTGTTTTGTTTTCTTTATTGATAGAAAGGTGAAACACCTTTACATCTGGCTAGTAGAGGATGTCGTCCAGATGTAGTTTTGCATCTGATCAACTACGTTAAAGAGAAAAAGAACGAAGAGAAGGCAGCAAACTATGTCAACGAGCTGAATGAAAATGACGAAAGTGCTTTACATTACGTATGTGCAGTTGGTAAAGACGAGGTGAGTACATAGCCAAGATACTAATGACCCTAATCTCAATTTATTAAATTTATCTTCAAATGTTTGATCCATACTATAAGGCTATTTTCAAGGTCAACGATTACGAACTACCTCCAAAAAGGTTCCTTGTAATCCAGATCCCATCAATCTGTATTTATACTGCTTCTCATTAAAAAATGGATCTTTGTCAAAGAAAGGTCGGGTTGGCAGTTGACACCACCTCTGATTCTTTTTTGCTTTTGGACTTCGATGGATAATCAGTATGTTTTAAATAACTTCAGTGTTTAGGTGTCATTACAGTTGTTTTTCAATACCGCTTTATTCTAGAATAACCTGAGAAGGCAGAATGTAAGTTACCACTAATAACTAGGTGGCATCCTAGAGATCTATAGATGACAACTTAGTGGTCTAGTATTAAATATGTTTCTCCTTAGGATTGCTATAGATTGTATGTTGTCCATATGTACTGTATCCGTAACGCTCATACCTGTAGTGATTTTCCAAACGCTCTGGCTATTAAAAGTTCTATGATTTATTTTTAAAGGAATATTAACGTTGAAGCGGCAGGTTTCGTTTTCACGACAAGAAACACATGTTGGGCAGTATTTATAGGCCAGGATGATTTGGATCTTACCATGTTTAGACTCAATGATCCTTCAACAATATTTTCGATAGCAGAGTATTACCATCTATATGAATGCAAAATCATTTATAATGAATAAGTTTCCTTTCAGGATTCGGCGATATTATACATTTCAATTTTGATTACCTCAATTTACTTGTTTAACGTCATTGAAATTTGTAGTGCTATATACAGTATAAGTAAAAATATGTACGCAGCCTCTCCACGGAAGTTCACAAAGAAGAGTTTGACCATTTCCAGGATTGCTACTGTTCATAGCCGTTAGGTGTAGATTTACTTTTGCATGCAATACTGTAGTGAGATAAAAATTCATACAGATTCAGACGAGTATGGGGTTGAAAATCAAATTTGATGCACTGTTATGTTTGCCGTCTACGTGTATTTTAGTGAGAATAGCCTTCGAAATCAAGCATTCAATTCCAGAGAATCACATACATTCAACTTCGAAGAGATGCAGTTCTCATGCAGTATTGACCAGATTGTTGATTATGAATACGCGGTAGATAAAGTGGCACTCTGTCTTTCGCAATTATTATTTAAAGTATAAATAAATAAGAACTGATGTCACAGGAGGGCATTGTTTATAAAGCTCATGTCCACCGTCCTTAACCCAATATTCCAGAGAGTCACAGTCGAGGTAGTTTCACTAAGCACCATGTGTCCATATGCACTAAAAAATGTTGATAAGTTTTATACAATAAGCACGAAAAAAATTGACTAACTTTATATACGCGACAGTACGATAAGAGTATAACTAGAATATAAACGAACTAGCGTAACCCTTCTTTCATACTTTATGTACAGTTTCCAGCGAAGTGTCTAGATTTACAGATTCTATCAGCGTTTTCCAAATGGCTACTGAATCCAAAAAAATTGATTTAAATGAAACCAAACGTTTGCTGTAGGTCGAGACTCCAGGCTCCGATAGAACAGTAGTAAAGTTTCTGTTGGAGAATGGCGCCAACGTCAACCTACTCACCAAGCAACACGAATCTGCCTTCCACTACGTAGCACTGGCTGGTAACAATGATGTTTTGATGGAAATGATATCCCACATGACACCAACGGACGCCCAGAAGGCTCTAAATAGGCAAAACGAGCATGGATGGACTCCGTTGTTGATTGCCTCCAGAAAAGGTAGTACATGAGGATGTAATCTTGTATTATCAGATGGCTTAATTAAAATAAAAGCTACACGTCTTCAATAGATCTACCAAATAGCTGAAGATGCACAGTATAGTTATTATGAATTTGTTCGGCAAAACATGTCAGTAAACTAACTGAGATCGAATTTCGTGTAATATATGACGCCTTTACAATCATCCAATCAGTAAGTAGATATCGATTTTGCTTTTTAGGCCATATAGACTTGGTGAACAATCTGCTGGCGAACCACGCGAGAGTGGACGTTTTCGACAATGATGGTCGCTCAGCTTTGCACCTGGCTTCTGAGCAGGGCTTCCTCCCGGTTTGTGACAGTCTGCTGACAAACAAAGCCTTTATCAACTCTAAATCGCGAAATGGGAGGACTGCACTACATTTAGCTGCAATGAATGGGTAAGTCCAAGGCTTTCTATGTTATGCTCATAATCAGGGAGAAAACACCTGGCAAACTGAGTCAAGAATGAGTGCCTCCTTTTAATAAGAAGGAGCTCTCGACTTTATTGAACAACTGATATGCAGTTACAACTGACAGACAGAATACTTATCCAGATTCCATGCTTAGTAATCTAACAGTATTCGGACTCTCAAGGACAGCATAATTTGGAAAATATATTTCAAGGGATATCTGCATTCTTGGGACTTTAAACAGTGACTCTATACTGCTTCTAGTACATATTTCCTAGTATTGGGTTTTTAAAAATACTATGTCTTCTTTAGGTACATCCACTTAGTGAAATTTTTGATAAAAGACCACAACGCTGTGATAGACATTCTAACGCTAAAAAAGCAAACTCCATTACATTTGGCAGCAGCAGCTGGTCAGATAGAAGTTTGCAAGCTTCTGTTGGAATTGGGTGCAGACATAGATGCCACTGATGAACAAGGACAGAAGCCGATACATGCTGCATGCCAGAATAACTATTCTGAGGTATGATGTTGATGATTATTCACACTGGGATTAAAGATAAAGAATAAGATGGTTGTTTTTTCAAATAGGTATTGAAACAGCTCATGTGACGTTAGCCTTGTGAGATTTCTTAATAGTATATCCCAATCAATAGATTAGAAGGAGCCTATATGTTCACACTGCATTCTTTGTCGCTCAAAGTGCGTACTTTTGGTGCATACCTTTGATTCATTTGACTACATTACCTACCTTAGTGACAACGTTGTATGAACATAATAATAATGCATACCGGTGGAAAGATCTACATTTATTATGCTTGACCCGCTCTTTGCAAATTATGCAGGAAGGGTCACGTCTTGAGATTATCTAACAGTAAAATTACCTGCAAACACTCGCACTTCCAAAAAATAATGCTATGAATACAAATTTAATGGTAGAACTGTCAAAGAATTAACTTATGTCAGGTCCACTTGTAGCGTGCAGTTTCATCCTGAGTACAGACTGAGATTTTGTAGCCAAACAAATTGTAGGCTTGCTCTTTCTACCTAGTCTGAAGTTGTTGGTATATCCAGACTAGTCACAAATAAAAATAAACTAGAAGCTTTTCAACAGGTTGTAAAACTGTTTCTCCAACAACATCCCAGTTTGGTCATGGCTACGACGAAAGACGGAGATACATGTGCTCATATTGCAGCCGCTCAAGGCAGTGTAACTGTGATCGAGGAATTGATGAAGTTTGATAGAGCAGGTGTAATTTCGGGTACGTTCAATCCTCGGTTGTAAAATTTTTGTAATGTTTTATAGCTAATACTTGTGTGATGCATAATTCTTATCATTTCAGCTAGAAACAAGATAACTGATGCCACACCACTCCAAATGGCTGCTGAAGGCGGGCATGCTGAAGTTGTGAAAGCTTTAGTTAGAGCTGGTGCCAATATAACAGATGAAAACAAAGGCGGATTCACAGCTGTCCATTTGGCTGCCCAACATGGACATTTACAGGTAAATGGCATAGTTATATGTCTTTTTTCCAAAGTGCAAAATTATGTATCAGAATTATCTTTGCGCCTATGAGTTTTTACTTGATGTAATGTAAGTATATAATGGGATCTGAAGGAACTTGAAATATATAGGCGCAAACCCTTTCTGAAGCCTCGCAATTCTGGTAATCTGTCTAGCTCAAATAATAAATGCCAATTTCCTGCTTGATATCACTTTGCAGCATTGGTACATAACTGATCCGTCTGCCGGTTCCATCACCAATGTCATAATTAACCCACTTATGTCATATGCATAATAATATGTTTAAGTAAAATAATTTTAGCTCTTGTTTGGCTTAGCAGTACTCAGCATACTTGTGAGAGTATTTGTTAACGTACTTTGGATCCTGGTAAGTCGAACAAAGGTTTCAATTATTTTTCAAATCACTGAATTCTCAGGAGATAAATGTAGCTTATGAGTCGGCAGCATGTTGTCCAGAAAAAATAAGTCAAATGTCTATGTGGGTAGTGAATGTATAGTCATCGAGACAATCTATTTGACTTGGAAACAACTGTGTTCGTTACAGCCGTAAACACGCGCATTTTTTCAAGCCGTTGAAAATCAAAAATTAAGTGGTGTAGGTTAGTTATTGAAGTTTAGTTGTTCCAGAATGAGCACAAAATATGTTTTTTGTGACATCAGGAAGTATCTATTTGATAATATTCATCTTCAAATTCCCAAGTAGAGAAATATATGTCAGCAACAAAAACTAAACACGTGATTTGTTTTCCATTCTTCTGTACCAGTGGTGTGCAAAGGTATAAGTCTAAATCATGGAAATAAACTGCAGCAACTGTTCAGTGTCTTGCTCATCTGAAAGTAAGGGCATGTTTTGTTGTGGCTTATGTAAGAAGCCTATATGCAAAAAATGCACAGGACTATGCCCCACTGAAATCAGGACAATGGAGCTTGCTGGGCAAAGAAGATTGTTCTTTGCTTCCCTGAATGTGAACTTAAATCTCAAGAAAGTGGTGCACACCATAGAAAAGTAGAAAATACAAGCATGAATGATATTAGGGCGTGCCTGAAAACAACAGTGGAAGAAATCGAAAGTAAGATAACATCTTTTGAAAAACAAAATGATATGCACATAATGAATATGCAAAAATCGATTGAAGATAAATATTACCAGCTGGAGGGTGCATTTGAACGAAAACTTGAAAAACTAGACTATGCACAAAATAATGTTACTAAGGAGAATTATGAAATCTAAAAGCCGTCGAACTCAGCTGCCAAAAGCACATATTTAAAAAAACTTAATGCCAATAAGCCGATTTCAAAAAGATCACCAAGTCCAAACAATCAACAAAGCGTTGAAAATGTTGCAGTGCTTGAAAAAAAAACAAAGAACCACTATGGACAATTTAATTTATATAAACTCAGATAGTACAAAAAAAACAGAGAAAATTTTGCTAGAAAAAACCAGATCAGAGGTAATAGGTATGAAGAAGTGGGCACAAATGATGATGGCTTCCAAGTAGCCAAACGTAAGAGGAGTAATAGACCACCTCCTAAAATAGGGGATAATCAAGACTTTGGATTCATTGGATCAGTACTAAATGAAGATAAGAAAATTTGGATTTTCGTTAAGCGTGTTAGTGACTCTTCTAATATTGAAAACGTTAAGAGATATATTGCAACAAAGACAAGTTCAGATGAAACAAAAATACAAGTTAAAGAGCTTGCTACACCGCAACTCGCATAACAAATGTTTTCTAGTTGGTGTTGATCAATTGCTCAAGGAGAAAGTGTATGAACCCAACATCTGGCCTCAGAGAGTTACTTTTGAAAGGTTTAATTCTTTGAAAGGTCAGCGCTTCTTGGATGAAGACGCTTCTCACGATGCGCCAAAGGATTTTCACACATAAGAAAACTGCCCACACAGCTATTTAATGTTTCAAGGCATGTTTTACATAATCAAGATATCATATACCTCAAGATTGAAAGCTTATTACCAAAAATTCACATAATAAAAGCAGAAGTTATCTGTTATAAGCCAGCTATTCTTATACTTAGTGAGGCAAGAATTACCGAAGATATTGAGGATTCAGAGCTAACTATTAGAGGTTATCAACTAGTACGTTGTGATAATAGCAGCAGGATCACAGGAGGAACTGTCTTTTATTAGAGATGGAATGGAATATAAAGTCAAAAGGAAAATCATTAGTCATCCGAATTATTGGTTTGGTTTTATTGATGTGATAGTTAGAGGTCAAAAGTGGACAATTGGTGGATTTTCACACATAAGAAAACTGCCCACACAGCTATTTAATGTTTCAAGGCATGTATATCAAATATCTAGACCTCAGATTGAAAGTTATTACAAAACATAATAAAGAGTTTCTGGCTTAGGAGGCAAATTACCGAAGATATTGAGGATTCAGAGCTAACTATCAGGTTATCACTCACAGGAGGACACTGTCTCTTTATATTAGAGATGGAATGGAAATTATAACGTCAAAAGGAAAATCATTAGTCTTCCGAATTATTGGTTTTGTTTTATGATGTGTTAGTGAGGAAGGTCAAAAGTTGACAACTGGTGGTCTGTTTTCACTCTCCTAAGTGCAAGTGATGCTATTTTATTGAGAAGTCGGAAGAGTTTTAGATGATTATTCTTGTGCGTAAAGCATTTAGTAGGGGATGTAAATATATATTTTAAATATGAACGAATTTCTAACCAACAAATTCAAACGTTTATTTGATGTTTATGGGATTGACAGTTGGTCACCTGTCTTTGATAGATTATCTTGTTTCTAATCATGGGAGCATTGAGGCTAAGGTGCATGATCAACCAAAGTTGTCGGATCATTCTATTGTATCTGTTAGTGTCTTTTCAAATATTGCTGAAATAAGAAATTTAACAGACGAGGAATTACTAAAAATAAACATAGACTGGTCAGCGAATAGTATTAATGTCAATCAAATTTATCAGAATTTACGGGCGAATATAACTAAGGCAGTCAATGCAAATTCATCTGAGCTCTCATTGTCAGTGAGAGGTGACCAGGTTCCCAACTACGATACTGAACTCAAAAATAAAGCTAGGGAGCGAGATCTTGCCTGGACACAATTTAGGAAAAGTGGCCACCCAATTGACAAACATAATCAGTGGGAGAAATACAAGATGTTCAGAAATGAATATGTTAACTTGTTAAAAATGACAAAAAAGACAACATTTTGAAGAAACAATTTATCACAATAAACATAACCCCAAAACTATGTGGAAAACATTGAAATCTTTAATAAAGCCGGTAGGAGCCGGTAGGAGCTACTACTTTCGATCTAATAATTTTTTACCTAAATGACCAAACGTTATTTCCTGATGTGAAGTCGAAATAGCTGATAATTTCAACCTTTACTTTGTTAGCAGTATTTGTGACATTGTTAAAAGTATCCAGTCTGATATTATATACGAGTACGTGTATGATGATCTATCTTGTGATGCAGCTACGTTCCTGAAATTTGGATCCATATCATACGATGAATTGAGAGAAATTATACTTTCATTTGAAAATAAAACATACGGTGAAGATATTTTGAATACTAAACTTCTTAAAAATACTTTGCACTCGATTGGTCATGTAATCTTGAATTTTATCAACACTTCACTAGCTTATGGAGTTTTCCCGGATGCATTAAAAGTAAGCACAGTTACGCCCATCCCTAAAGTATCAAATTCCATAGAAGAGTTTAGACCTATAAATACTTTGCCACCTTTTGAAAAACTTTTGGAAACATGTGCCCATAAACAAATTGTTGAATATTTTGAAACCAATAATCTTCTCACGGCTAAGCAATCAGGCTTCAGAAAAGGTCACTCTTGTGAAAACTGCCCTTCAAATTACAGTAACTTGGATGAAACTTATTCATGACAATAACTATGTAACTGCAGTCTTCCTTGATTTCAAAAGAGCATTTGAAACAATAGATAGACTGAAATTGATAGATAAACTAAAACAATGTGAAATTGGAGGCACTGTCCTGAGATGGATAACTAGTTACTTGAGTGACAGATGTCAAGGGACTAAGATTGGTTTTTCTATCTCCGAAACCACTTCTGTACGTTTTGGAGTTCCTCAGGGTAGTGTTTTGGGGCCACTAATTTTTTATAATATATTTGAATGATATGGAACTGTTCATAGAGGTAGCTCCATAAATCTATTTGCCAATGACACACTTGTGTACTCAGCCTGCAAAAACCTGAATGAGGCTATCTATATGTGACGTGACTGATATATTAAATGAACAAATTGAAGTTGAACACTCAAAAATCAAAAGCAATGGTAATATCAAGCAGAAGTAAAAACAAGAATATAATAAAAGCTAATACCCAAATTAAAATTGAAAAGACAGTTCTTTATATAGTTGATACAATAAAATACCTTGGATGTTGGATGAAAACCTAATTAAGAAAATTTCAAAAAAACGTTATTTTTTTTCAAGAGTTTATAAACAGCTATCAATGATTACAAGAATTACGGTTTGCAATACAATAATAAAACCTCATTTTCAGTACTTTATTATATTTATTTAGCAAGAACAAAATAGGCACCTTACAAAAACTTCAAATTAGGGGAATGTGGATAATTTTACGGTGCTCTAGGTACACAAGAATTGAATATATGCTGGATACTCAACAGTGATTATCGGTGAATCGACATCTTTATTTAACAATAATGCTATTTATTTATAAAATTGTGAAGGGAACATTACCTAGTTATTTAGGTGCTCATCTACGCCCAAATAATGAGATCCGTTCATATAACACTAGGGCGTGTAATCATTTGTATGTAAATAAAACAAATATTTAGAGTAATAAGTTGCCGCAGCAAATAAAAAACGCCGACTCAGTCGGGTATTTCAAAAAAGCACTTATCAAATACATAAGATCTGACCGAATTTGTTAAATTTATTATATTTGAATATATATGTATGTACTTGTGAAATACTGTAATGCTACCAGTTGTTGTTGTTGTTGAAATTAGGATTTTTTTTACTTAATAAAGAACTACTACTACCCAAGTTTTGAATCAGTAAACGACTTTCGCCTTTATTATAGGTACTGGAGGTTCTACGTTCATCGAACACGCTTCGGATCATCAGCAAGAAACTTGGAGTAACTCCCCTCCATGTAGCTGCATACTTCGGGCAAGCTGATACCGTTCGAGAACTACTAACTCATGTACCTGGAACGGTGAAGTCTGATTCACCAAATGGAGCTTCACTTGTGCCGGCTCTGGGCAATGAGTCTGGCATGACTCCATTGCACCTTGCAGCATTTTCAGGGAATGAAAACGTCGTGAGGTAGGTACATTGTAGGTCATATAAAGATATTCGCACCTTGTTACAAAAAAATTGATTGAATATAGTATGTCATTTATGGCACAAGCGTTGGGGAAGATTGATGTTAGCCTTCTGTAGATGTGGAAGTTTTTTAGGCTAAGACCTTTTTATTCGGCTTTGTTGTATGGTGGCTTTTATGAGGCTAAAAGCCACCATAAAAGTCTCCAGATTGTATCACTTACCTGACTGCTGGACTGAGAATGGTTCAACAAGTGATACACATTTTTTCCTTATGAATGAGATGTACCTTATTTTTTACAATTTTTGGCCAATTTGACGCATTATCGATAAGATTATTGATTAATTAATTATGTTATTGAATTTCAGATTATTGTTGAATTCTGCTGGAGTGCAAGTTGATGCTGCAACACATGAAAATGTGAGTAGAATCTTGCTAAGTATACAGGGTTTTCATTTGAAAACTTTCCACCACGGATTTGTCGAAAACCATTATTAAAAGAAAAAACGCCGAGAGACGTTAGAAGATTTGTCAAATGGGACATCCTTTTGGTTAAAAAGTTTTCCCCTAGACAAATCTTTTGACGTATTTCCTTTTAATCAGTGGTTTGTGATATGTCCGTGGTGGGAAGTTTTCAAATGAACATGTGTGTACAAGATAATTTAAATAACCAATTTCAGAGGTTTTCGCGATACGCCGTTATACCTAACAATAACTATTCATTGAAATTGTGACCATGAAATATCTAAAACAAACAGTGGCGTTTCTGCACCAAATAATATAAACTGGTCTTGAGTGGCCAGGTGCTGTACCCCTGGCGGATTATCGTTAAAAAGGACAGTAGGTGAATGTTTTCTGGATTTATTATATTTCTCAAACATGGTCGTATGTATTCTGGACCATACAATAAGAAGGTCAAAACTTGAATTTCAATGAGCTACAACGATTGCGAGTGCCAGAAAAGAATATTAATCTTCTCAGCAATTTCTGTTTCTTCACGACGGATTTACTACATCATCATTAAAAAACTATAAAACAATGCATTAGGAATATGTGCTCACTTAAAACGGGTGAAAAGGTCGTTTTCAGTTTTGCTCTCGAATCAAATTTATTTCAAGGTGTACATAAAACGTGAGGAAAACTACAGCCACAAACAGCGATATTTTTGAATTTTATTTTTGTAGTAGTTTCCTACAAATATAGGTCTCAAAATGTATCCTTACTAAGATACTGGGAGTTGAAGTTCTAAGTCGAAAAACATTTTAAATCCGGAGTGCCAGTAATGTTGTAGTGCAATGACTCCTCAGATTTTTCAACTTTTAGGCTCTATTCCTTTGCTTCATGAGTGTGCTGACATAATGTGTAAGCATAATGTTTGTTTACACGTATAATTTTTACAGGTGCATGTTTGTCGAAAACATATTTAATTCCGTCATTTAGCTATTATACTTTTCCATCTGTATCTTCCAGATTTAATACGTTATGCCAAGGATGAGTAACTAAATCGGTCTGAAAATTAGTGATGTTGAAACTGCTGAAATCTCTGTACCCCGTAAATGTTTGTTTAGGAGCCGCAGCCTTTAATGTTGGTCAAAAAAACTGGCTTATGGTCAGTGGGTCAGTATTCAAGGTTTCAAATTTGAATAAAATACCAGTATCGCTCATAAATATAGGATCTAGTAAGGTACTAGACCTTTTTTTATTTTTGATGCTTCATTTATAACCTGTTGAAGCGCGTATGTATCGAAGCACTCTTTAGATTGTTATTTTCATCTCAATAGCTTACGTTTAAGTCTTCTATAACAAAAATGTGGTAAAGTATGTATAAGAAATGCGATTGTTCAAGTTATTACAAGAACCATAGTGAGATTACTAATCCTGATTCTAATCCATAAGGTTTCTACGCCTGGAACGGCAGTAATATGTTTTAACCCTTCACAAACCAAACCACTTCTTACACAAAAATCACCCTAAATAGGTAATCAGTGAAGGCTAAAACATCAGACTCATTATTTTGTGAAATGAAGGAAATTTCAGACAAGGAATGAAGAAGTGGACGAATATTTAAGTGCCTTAATTTACGGACTTTATTGCAATGTCAGAAGTTTAAAGTTGTTTGTGTTACTGTAATTCGAAATCAAATTCACGTTGTTTCAGAAAGAATTCGTAAGCGGCACAGCAATTTTTGTCAGTTGGAGAATGATTCTCATTGTAGTTTTTACTAAAAATTTGATTTGAATATATACAGTTACAGAAAATAGTTTCAGTTTCTTACATTATGATTTTCACCACATTCCATGCAAACTTTACGATGTTGGCATTCCTTTATTATATGATTAAATTTTAGACAATTTGTACACTGACACATTATTAGGCTGAACAGATACATTCTGGAACCCTATAAAAATTTTAGCATTGTTTTCACAAAAAAATTGTTGAATAATTTACCTGTTATATTTTCATAAATTACGCAATTCCTTTTGGAAGAAATATGTTTAACTTATGTAATTTTTATGTTTTCTTCAGTTGTAAAATGGTACCGTCTTATTATGCGATTCCTTTTGACAGAAATACGTTTAAGTTATGTAATTTTTATATTTTCCTCAGTCATGAAATGGCTCTGTCTTATGATGTCTTCTTTAAGTTCGATTTCTTTAACTTTTTCGTCAGATCTGTATCCAAAAACGTTGGCTCTTGGATCGAAGGTATTTGGTTTTGTATTTTGTAAACTGGCGGAAAGGTTTTTCCAATTACCTGTTTCAATTCGTTCTGACAGTTTTCAACATTTATTTCCAACCCACCGTTGCTTGAATTCGCTGCTTTCCCAATTTTGATGTTGAGTTTCGAAAGGTTCAGATATTTTCCAAGGTTCTATTAGTCTGTTAGCTTGATTTTTGTCCACCTGGAGTGACTATTATGCTCTTAACTGGCTTCTTATTTTTTACTGGTAAGTTATTTGTAATGACTTGAGCAAATCCATTTTTTGTCTAAATTTCTTTTTTCTATATATGTGTGATAAAATTCGTTTAAAAGACTTCTACCTTGAAAGTACGCTGAAAGTAGGGGAGACCGGGGCTAGTTGTCACAATTTTCAGTAATTCTTTTCTTTATTCGATCTGAGGCATTATATGCACATATTTGGTGCATAACTAATATGGTTTATCCTTTGGGAACACTATGTAAAATCGATAAGGCTGTAAAATAATTCACAATATTAAATTAAAATGTTTTAAAATACAGAAACAAATGTGACAACTTGCCCCTTGCTGGGGCTGGATGTCACATTGCTTGGGGTTGGTTGTCACGTGTATTTTAGATCATTAATAATTTATATCATACGTTTAAACATATTTATTATTACAAATAATGATACCAAATTTTTATTAGAAAAGTTTGCGTCCATCAGTGCACGCATCATGAGACCAACCATTACACGATGAGCATTTCACCCATTCTTCATTTGACGTTAGAAGATAGTTCAAGACAAATCAAGCAAAAACATTCTTCTCCATCAGTTTCATTATCTGAACAGGACTTTTTCTGAATCAAAACGTCCCTTTTCACTGTTTCCCTGTTCCTCTTTTTCTTGTTCGAGCATTTATTTTTCTCTTTCTCTAATTCGTCTTTTACTGGAGTGTCAGAGAGTATTGCAGTCCCTCGTTTACGACGGGAAACTCGATTCATTTTTCTTGCCAATGCCTTTGGATAAGGTCTTAAACTTTCTGGAAATACTATATTTCCCGCATGCAGCCTTACTAAACTACTACAGCAGGGATCATCAAAACTAGTTTGATTAGATGTTTTGCCCTCTCGTATATTATCTATTGCTTCCTGCGTGTTAATATTTATCAGACTTACAGTTTCATCTTCGTTCAAGATGGTTTGATTTGGCCCAACTTCCTTTTCGTTTAAGGTTTCCGGGTTTGGTCCAGTTATTGCTTCGTTCAAGATACCCGGATCTGGCCTATCAGTGACAGAGCTCGCAACAAAATCATCATCCGTGAAACTATCTCTGTTGTAAGGAATCACATCCGACACCCGAAATCCAGACTGGATATTTTTAAGAGTAAATGCGAGGGGGTATGCAATAGAGACCACTGAAGGTATGTCGTATATAGTCATGGTCTTACCGGGATTATTTAAAATCCTCCTCTTCTGGCAACAACGCGGTCGGGTCTTTGGACAGTTGTAATCCCAGGTTCGTCATGTTCCAGATTTCGTGAGGCTCAAATTTATATTTTTCCATAACTGAAGCTAAATTATCAAAAAATGCGTTGACGTCCGTTTTATTGAAACTACTGGCTCTTGCTAAACTAGTTGCTTCCAGTTTGCTAATAGACGGTACAGGATGACGTTTCAGAAACGCACTAAACCAGCCAGGACTAGCTATTTTATGGAGCTTCCAATTTTCCGGCATTTTCAAGGAAATAGCATTTGCAAATTCATATGCCAGTCCACGTACTTGCTTGTTTGATAATCCAAAATAAATATCAGATGCTTTGAGTACATATTCCACTAGATGATTTTCAAGTTCAGGCTCAAATACTAAATGATTTTTGATGTAACCAACAGAAATTGACGGCGCAACAACTCGATCATCAAGTAATTCATATTCTGGAATTTTCTCACAGTATCTTGTTAAAGTACGGTAATTTACATTGAAGTCACCTGCTGCTTTTCGCTTTTCGCTTTTCTTATTGAGGATCCTAATCTCACTAACCTAGCAGCTCTTAAAAGTAAGTCAAGCAGCGCCTTACTCTTCTCAGTCTTCCTTTTGAAATTTCGAACCATGCTTATGTAACCTGAAAATATTAAAAAATACATTGTATACATATAGGTAAGTAGAACGATGTGCAAAGCTAATCGTCTAGTGTGGGGGCTGGTTGTCACATGTTTGAGACAACCTGCCCCACTAGATAATTGATTTTTAAGGTTAGATAGCGTCACTAAATTAACAAATTCAAAGTCAATACTTACGTTAAGTCGTATTCGGATTATCGAAGAGCAAAATAAATTCAACAGTTCTTTTTATTATCAAATGTAGTCTTGAAAACACAAATTATGTGACAAACGAAATATTTACTCAGGTTAGGCGACTTGTTTATTTTTGTGCGTGCGACCTTAATCTACCAACGACCACTTTCGTACTGAATACAAGTGTTCTGCGCGGACGCAGAAACGATGTGTAGTGCGCCAGGCAACTACATCTTGCGGAGCTGCTGAGATTTAACAATTGTGACAATCAACCCATGTGACAACCAGCCCCGGTCTCCCCTAGTGAAAATGACATGACAGTAATCCTATTTCATCATAACGTCATTCGAGAATAGGTACCCCAAGATGGGATAGTTTAGGACCTATATTCCTACAGAATGTATTGTTTTGGATATACTTTCTTCTCTATATTTCCCCGTTTTTCTAAGCCATGTACGATGTCAGTAAGTGAACAATTTTTTTAGGGTTACAATCCGATGCACCTAGCTTGCTACGGTGGTCATGGCACAGTAGTGGGACTTCTGCTAAGCAGGTCAGCTGAACTCCTTCAGAGCGTCGATAGACATGGAAAAACTGGTTTGCATATAGCAGCTCAACATGGGCATTACCAGATGGTAGAAGTTTTACTGGGACAAGGCGCTGAAATCAATGCACCCGACAGAAATGGGTGGGTATATAGACTATTTCTATTTGATTTGCACTTTCTGTTGAACAATTTTTCTAACATTTGCCTCCTTAAATAAAGGACCAGGTACAAAACATATAGAAAATGGGTCGCAGTCAATGTGTATAAGAATTCTGTATGTTATGTTTCTTGCCTTCGTGAACAAAAGTGTTAGTTCCCGAGAAATAGGAAGATAAAATTTGCCTTATTTACAAAAATGGTGAATGTGCTGATTGTTCTCAGATCGAAAACTCGGAGAATCAGTATAATAAAAGGAATATTCGGTTGAAACACCTTGTAGGAAGATATTCGTAGGTCTCATGATTTTCGTGACTATAATCCTTACTATTTCAATTTAAGGGAAGTTTTTATTTGTTTAAGCTGGACTAGATCTGGCACGGGTCGCTCGAGAATTCAGGAAACTCAATAGGACATGTAGTTTTTAAGGGCACAGTTAATGTCTTAGTCTTAATATATTTGGAAATCTACAAATACTATCGATTTAATGTAAAGGTTACGTTTTCCTTAACCGAAATACAGGGTGTCCGCAAAGTTGGGGTTTTCCTTTACACGACGTGTAGATCTTGAAAACATAAGCAATTTTTCTTAGTACCATATACACCAATGTCTTAAGGCAACCGAGATAAAGGGCTCTGCAACATCAAAAATATCTGAATACCGTCCTGTAGCCGCGACATCACCGACTGGTACAAGGTCACTGGCTCAACCCGACGACAGAACTGGGTGGGGGTCAGTGTGTCAGGTCAGTATGCAACCTTCAACCGACGGTTACGGTCACGCGTGTAGAGGTAATCGCGTAGACAAGAATCCCTCAACAAGCACTAGTGACGTGGCTAGAGAAGTGCAAGTATCAAAAACTAAAGTGTGGCAAACGCTGCGTGAAGAGGTGCTGTATCCCTTTCACGTCCAACGTGTACAAGTCCTTCAACCTGACGATTTTCCAGCAAGAGTGCGGTTGTGTGAGTGGTTGTTAGCATCAACATGACAATAATCCGGACTTTTTGAAGTGCATATTGGTGACAGACGAATCTACAGTCACGCGTAATGGGATGAATAACTTTCGCAACACTCATGTTTGGTCAGTAGAAAATCCGCACGCTGTCCGTCGGGAACATTTTCAACAAACATTTTCGGTGAATGTTTGGGCTATCATGGTGAACGGTATGCTCATTGGACCATTTATTCTTCCAAGTCGATAAGTCGGAATGTAATACCTAGACTTTTTAAGCAACATTTTGCCTTCCTTGTTACAAGATGTGCCATTAAGTGTAAGACAATCAATGTGGTTTCTGCGTCTGCTTGGTAGCGCATCAGCTGATTTCATTTTCTGATGGAGCGGTATGATTTCGGGCAGAGACGTACTTAGCCCTTCTCGTCAACTGGAGAGTGCGTACTTTTTCCTTTATTTTTTTTTTACTTGGTCGCCCTCGTTTCACTACACATTACCTTTGTTATTTCAAGGGTAGTTGTTTCTGAAAAGGAAAACCCCAACTTTGCGGACACATTGCAAGAAATGTTAAATCGGATCCAGATCACAAAGAATTCATTTTGTCCAGTTTATCAATAGTCCCTACGACATTCGAAGTCCTTTGTTACAAAACTTTTATAGAAAGTGTCTGGATTCGGCGATGGACACAACTTTTTAAGTCAAGAATTCTGAACTTTTTAAGTGGCAGACGCACTTGTATTAAATAGAGGATAACATTTATAAAATAGCTCGTGCTCTTATTGATTATAACGGAAGCTACATTAGCGCATCAGCTGTTAGCAACGGCGCAACACGCGACCGCCGGTTTAGCGTTAGACGAAACAGAAGGTATCCGCAAATGGGATTAGTCACGTTTTTAAAACCTAATAAAGTGTCGACTACGGATATCTTATCAAAAAGATTATGAAAGTAACGAGGACATATATGATATTCTTGCAATAATTTAAGGACATTACTCAGTCCGAATCCTATCCATATGTGGTTTCTTGACATGTTCTCTATGATACTCGTATTAAAGTTTGGTTATCCTTCAGAAAAGTTGTTTCAAACCATTCGGTATATCGGAAACAGACCAAAATAAGAAAACTCAAATTAATATTCAAGCTACTATTAAGTTTTCGGAACTCTCGAGCAACCCGTACCATATCTATTCCAGCATAAGCATATGTAAAACAACTTGCCTTGAAACTGACCTTGTAAGGATCGTGGTCACGATCAGCATGACACCTCCAAACACCTTACAGGGTGATTTAATGAAATGTTTCTTTTAGTCTATTGATTCTCCGAGTGTTTGGTCTGAGAATCAGCACATCATCGTTTTCGCAAATCATCTGCATATTTCTCAGAAACTCATCGTAGGATTGCTTTGGTCCCATAGACACTTTTGTTCGGGAAGGCAAGAAATATTTCATACGGAATTTGAGGCATGTTGACAGGGATCCCTTTTCTTTGTATTGTGACTGGTCCTTTGTAGGTATATTGTTAGTATAAGTGAAAGATGTTTGGCCGATACAAGTCCTGATAGAGTTTGGTGCCATATGTTGTTTCTCTAAGATGGTCTGGAATGATTCCAAGTATAATAGACTTGCTGAAACGTTGGTGTTTCTAGTTCGAAAATTGTAATTGTTAGAGTGAATACGAAGACGTATTCCCTACAACTTTGTATATGGCGCTCTTTAGAAAACTTCACTGGTTTAGAAGATAGTCCGCCGTCCAGTATGAAGGCATGCCGGTCGCCATGCATCTCGAGGCTGCAGTCGGTCACTGCACCACAGGTAATCGGTGTTGGTTACCGTGAATGACAGTCTAGTCAAGTCTTAACTCAATTTTAGCTTCCCTAAGAGCTCACAACATCACTTTCAGATATAATTAAAGCATATTAGGTGAGAAAACATATCACTTAGAACCTCTATTTGTCCCTTCTAGTGCCGATAAGCTTATTATTGGATAGTTGTTCGGACATATTGACTCGACTCTTCTGAAAAGAGAACGAAACAAGAATGCGTCATCTAGGTTGATTCTGTACTTCCCACGCAACGGCGCCACAGTTCATAAAGACAAGTCCTCCAAAAAAAGTAAGTTACGAACATGTATAACAGGGAATTTCAACAGATCAAGTCAGACAATTAGGCCCGCACAATTATTCCCTAGACATTCGCTCTCCCTCCTACCGGTAGTTCATCTGGCAATGTCGCCTCTCCTCGATACCTAACAGTTCAACGCGTCGGACGCGGCAGTAAGGATAGGACAGTCACGAAGACCGGCACGCTCACCGGTGATCCCAGCCTTTCGCAAGCATATATACCCTTACTACCTTCCGACCTGACACTTCCAATTTTGTACTCCTACGGAATTTGAAAAAAATAATCAGTGGATCAATTGCTCATCCTAGTAGTAACATTGTCTAAGAATTTTATCAAAATCCGTAAGGTACTTACCAAGGTATAGCGACAGACCGAATATACCACTTTCGAATTTTTTTACGATTACAATACTTCCTTGCCAGTGTCGCGTAGGAAGTAAAAGTGGATTTTAAAGGTTGCATGAGTATAGTCGTTTGAGAAGAAAAAAAGTGACCCAGCGTGTAAAGGCTTTCTGCGTCTCCAATACGTCTATGTGAAGGTGGACAATAAAAGATACGTTTATTATTATTATTATTATTATTATGATAATTGAGATGAGCAGAGTACACAGTACTATAAGCTCATGCAGTAAATATAGTGTACGGACACGTAACACAAATACATCAAATAGAAAAAAATAAAAAAAGACAGTTCATAGCTATAAAGTATGTACACTCCTCCAGCTATCATACTGCACTTTGAAGCTATTAACTGAAGTAGCACCAACCACACTTTCAGGTAAACTATTCCAGGTGTTGAATATGCGGTTGGGAAGAAACCACTGTCGGACTGTTGTTTTAAATGGCTCCTTATGCAGTTTGAAGCTGTGTCCGCGTAGATTGCTGCGCGACAGACGGTGTAGATGCATGAGGTTGGTGCCCATCAAACCATGAAGTATCCTGAACGTAACTATAAGATCGCCACGAAATCTTCGCTCAGAGAATGAGGTCAGGTTGAATAATTCAAGGCGATCTTCATAGCTTGGTCTTCGTGTTCCAAAAGGGGTACGAGTAGCCCGACGCTGTACTGATTCGACGAGATTTCTATCGCGCAGAAGCACAGTGTCCCATACCGGGCCAGCGAATTCAAGAATTGGCCTCACGAATGCCTTGTAAATGTAGGCGCAAGTGTTGACATGTTCCTTTCAAGAACTGAACCCTATGGTATAATGCAAATATAAACCCTCACTGACAATAATCCGGTGTTCCAGTTGTCCTACCTTTAAAGAAACTTCTTAAATTTGAGCAAATATGTTTTTGCGGAATAATAGGTACAACGCTATAATTTCATTTGAAACAATATAATGGTAAATCTGTCTGGAGAACACACAATCACAATCTGATTTGACTTTATTAGAGAAAGTACTGGATAATATAGAAGATAACTGTAGTACTATAGCTATCATGTTTGACTTGACAAAAGCATTTGATTGCGTCAATTCACATATATCATTGAAAAAACTAGACTGCTATGCCATAAAAAATGCATAGCTATTTTGTTCATATCTGTTTAATATGAAGAGTATGTAATCTCTGAAGGCACCAATTCTGACCTATTGCCTGTTTTCAGCGGGATACCACAGGAATCAGAACTTGTCTCGACGCTCTAGACCTTCTACGCAATTATTTGTTTTTAGGCAGCTTAGCAGATGCTTCGATAGCTATACTTTGCGATTAGTGTACTTTAGCATGTTCCATAGTCACACTGCATATGACACGATCCTCTGGGGAAACTCAGTAGCGTCTAGCAAAAAATCTTGCAAAAACGGCGTTGAGGATAACCAAAAGTTCCAATTATGGATCAAAGTGTCGAGATCACTTAAAAAATATAGAAATATTATCACGTCCATCAATTTATATTTAAGAACTCCTACGTATGTACACAGAAATCTAAACAAATATCAAACCTCTGCAGAAATACACACTAACGCACTTCGTAATGTAAATTACCTTAGAAATCCATTCTCGTGACTGAATGTGACTACAAATAATAGACCTGATGTTAAGTTTATATATACTTTTTCGTCAATGCAAGTAAATACCATAATTATGAAAAAATGTCGAATTGCTGCTTCTCAAAGTTTGCAAATAAAACATTGATTAAGCACTGGTTCTATTCAATCTGCATTTTGATTATGCATTTGCAGTAACCACTTACAAAAATTTCGCCGTTGCACTTCGTCGCCGGGTTGTAGACATCACATTTTGCAGATGTTAAGGATGTAAAACTTCCCGATTTAAGAATAGTGCCACATATCCCCTGTATCTCCGGCAATGGTACACGTTAGTTTCAAGTAAAGAATTTTGAATATGGACAATAATTAGGTGAATAAACATACCAAATATTAGTTTATTCCAGTTGACGGTTTTGAAGACATTAAGAAAAATCGTTTTATATTATTAAACTTGAACACCCCGTTTTTTTAATGAAGCCCTCAAGGAAAAATTTTATATAGAAGACCCCCCTTGAAACTCGGTCCTGTATATGATGTTTTATTTCTGGTTACGACTTGTGAATCACCCTGTATCCATAATGCGGTCGAAACTGTATGGTCTGGTATGGAACAATAATTCACGGCGACATAGATGAACCTGGCGATAAGTGGTATTGTACAGCGGCATGGTGGCATGTATGCCTTCATATTAGGAAGCGTCTGTCTTCTAAACCATTGACTTTTTGCTAAAAAAGTATTATACCCAAAGCTGTAGATAAATTTGTAGAGATCGTTTTCCATCTTGTATTCACAGTTTTCTAGTTATCGCAAGAAATCCAGACAGATATCACATTTTTTCGTGTTGAAACAACCGCGATTTTGTTTTAGGCAGATCTATTGTGGTTCCATTCAAAATCATTTCAGACCATCCTAAACAGATATCAACCTATACTTGCGAGCATGACTATAGCAACCACCAATGGTTTTCGTTTCTTCTTTAGTTGGTGTAAGTGTAACTTTATATAACTTACCGGTATGAACTTATCATTAAGTCGGGTAGAATACGCTCCACATTTATCGTTTTGTTTCGTTTTATTACCCCTACAAGTTGTATTACGCTTCAATTAAACCGAGCTAAATAAAGCAGAAAGTTGTCCAAACTCTTTCACGATGTGTAACTCACACCCCAGTGATTCATACCTACAAAGTAAACAAGATTAGTGGGAATTGAATTGATGTACCTACCTGATTGCAAATACCAAAAGAGAAGAGCGTAAGTCAATGTATCTACATCACTGTTAACGTGGTGTACCTTTTATTACGGTGAAATCGTCAGATACATACACAATGTGTTAACAGTGCCAGATGGTGCGTTACGCCATTCTTCGTTGAATACCCTAGAACCCTAAAAAACGCCACTAATATGCAATTTTCAAATACTTATCAAGCCAAGCGATGTTTTCTTTAATTATGGCAATTTTATAACTTATGGTTGTAGATGGACTCCCTTACATTGTGCAGCCAGGGCTGGTTGTTTTGATGTGGTGCGTCTCCTAGTAGAATCTGGAGCTTCACCAAAGTCGGAAACAAACTTAGGAGCTGCACCAATTTGGTTTGCTGCATCTGAAGGACATCATGCAGTACTCGAGTACCTGATGACCAAAGAACACGATACATATGCTCTGATGGAAGACAGGCGGTAAGAGTCGGCTTCATGTTCGTTAATATCTGCCTTGGTCCGACAGTTTCAGAGAGGACGCGAGAGATTCTTCAACATGAAACAAGATTATTACGCATGGTATTTAAAAAAAAATATTACAAAAATTATAGCTAACAGGCGCAAGCAGGCTTTCGAAAAAAATATTCCACAGAAACGGCTTTCCAGTTGGTAACTGAGGATTGGAGAAGAGCTATAGAGTCAGAAGAAGTTGACATCTTTGGATTTGAAGAGGGCATTTGAAACGATTGATAGAGATATTTTGTTAGGTAAATTGAAAGCATATGGTATAACATGAAGTCTTTTAGATTGGTTTAGAAATTATTTGTCTAAAAGGATGCAAGTTACAAAAGTTAATGACACCGTTTCATCAAAAATTGAAAATACGTTGGGTGTTCCACAGGGCAATATCCTGGGACCCCTTCTTTTTATTTTATACATACATGATTTACCTGCCATAGTCAAAAAATGCAAAATTCAGATTTTGACACTATGATTTATATAAGTACTAAACATATTCAGACTGGTATCTCTTACATAAATGAAGACTTGAAGCTTGTCTCAAAATGGTTAGCATCTAACAGACTAAAATTAAATGCAAGTAAAACGAAAGCCTTGTTAATCGGAAAAAAACAATGTACAAATGTTCAACTGACTATTGATGGTGAATATATTGAATTCGTAGAAAATTTTAAATACCTGGGGTTTTTTGTTGACTCTCGATTAATTTTTGATATTCATTATGAAAAAGTTATAAATAAGATTAGTAGTAAAGTCGAATATTTATCGAAAGTTTCTGGATGTCTGAGTTCATATAGCAGAAACATTATCTATAATACCATCATTCTTCCAAATTTCTTGTACTGTTCGACTATTCTATATTTAGCAAATAATTCCATTTTTGAAAGACTGCAAATTTTACAAAATAAGTGCATGAGAATAATACTAAATAAAGATAAATATACTCCAATTAGGCAAATGGTTAGAAAATTAAAATGGCTCAATGTAAAAAATTTTATCAAATATCTTGTAATGATATTCATTTATAAAGTAAAAAATAATATATTTCCATCAAGTCTAACTAATTTAACATCATCAAATGTCGACCATCATTTACATAATACCAGAAATAAAGATGACTTCCATTTAATGACCAAAAAGTATATATGCTACAAATCTGTATTCCATCAAGGGTTGATTGAATATAATAAATTATACTCAGAGATAAAAGACCAGAAAAGTTTGACAAAATTTAAAGTAAAATTGAGAAATCACTTGTTAAATCTACAATTATAGGTTGCCCAGCATTTACATCATACACCATATGGCTTGAATTTACTAGTTCTATGTTGTTTACAATTATTCTGTTTATGTAGCCAATTCATGACCCAAACATAATCTTTCTAAGTGGAAAGATCTGGATCTAAAGACAGATTTCGATAGGTTCTATTAAACTAATCAACTTGATATTACGTGGTATATGGATCTATTTTCAAATCGTTGAAGTATTAGACAATTAATCAAAAACATAACGTCTAACTTTGACAACTAGCACCTTTTTAACCGTTACAGCTACATTACAAAAATTTTCTGCGGCCAGATTTTATGATTGAATACTTTTCCCTATCTACTTGCCTTTTCAGTTTATACAGGCTGGTCGAGAACGCGAAATTGACGATTTCAAAAAATATTAAAATGGAATACCCAGTACATTTCCACATCCTCAGTCTATTCTTTTTACAAGGTTTTTATAAGTTTTTGGGGTTTGTACGACTGTTTTTGGGTTACAGCTAACCTATTTGTAAATCGGATATCAAGGTAAATCAAAAATATTACATTACGTCTCAAAAACTAGCGTTACAATGGTAAGGGCAGATCGTTACAATTTTAAAATTTCATCATGAATTAAATCACTCCAATCTTATGCAATAAAGTTGAAAAGTCATGACGGTGTTCCTATAAGTAACACAAAAACCCTACATACAAATCGTTGAAAACCATATAGCAGGAAAAGCTTTTGAAAAGGCGAATCAAAGAATGTGACAATATGCATGCTGGACAATTTGGAAATTTCGAGAAACAGTTAATTTTACGTTTTCGATCATCATGTATAAACAGTCCAAAAAACTTAAACTGTCCAAAAATTTGAAAAATTAATAGGTCAGGAACCATAAATTTTTTGTGACGGAAGCTGAGCGTCTTTTTCTGATAGATTGTCGAAAATCTTAGAAAGTTGAAAATAAAACCATATAGTACATTAAAGAACCTACCCAAATCTGCAAATAATGTAGGGCTTTCTACTTAAAAAAAATTATGTTTTAGATACCATGCGTAATAGCCGAATTATCGACCGAGCACGCACTAACAACTCACCCTGTATATATATTACAAATCGATAGTGGGATGCCGCACAAATACTCTAAATTACAGGAGCATCGTGACTATCAAACACGAACTTTCTTTACTCTTATCTTTCGTTATATTTAATCCAGGAGAAGCAAACATTAATCTCAAAACAAAGAATTACAAAGCAACCACTGATTAGTGATTCTATCCTATTTTAATGTTAAAGGTTCGTCTACAACCTGATGGTTTGTTCCAAAAACCACAACAACAAGCCTATAGAAGAATTTATCTTAGTATCACCAGCTCCTGTGGACACAGCTGCCAAATTGTCGAACATCCTCATTGTGCTTTCCAACAAGGAAAAGGAACGAGCTAAGGACCTGATTGCTGCAGGCAAGTTTTGCGAGGCCATGGCAACTGAACTGCTGGCTTTGGCTGCGGGAGCAGATTCTGCTGGGAAGATTCTCACTGCGACAGACAGAAGAAACATTGAGTTCTTGGACGTACTGATTGAGAATGAGCAGAAGGAGGTGATAGCCCATACGGTGGTGCAACGATATCTGCAGGTAAACGCTAGGTAAAATAAAATAAAGATTCCTTTCTGCTGAATTTCAACAGTGGTAACTTTTCCTTTGTGGATCATTCAATTTTATATTGGATGCTAGAGGGAGACATAGAAGGTTATATTTTGTGTAATAGTATTGGTTCTTGAGTCGGTGAGGTACTGTAATCAAAAAGTCGAGCAATATTATGGCCAGAACGGAAGCAAGGAAGAGGAGAATATTTTAAATGGCTATATCTTGTATCAGGTTCTGTAAAAATGCTCTTACGCGAACAGTTTTGTAATCTAGTCTTTTAACAATGTAACCAATCCTGCTCGACCATGTAGTCCACATACCCGCACAGTGCAATAATGTGACGCTGTTTGGCTTGATTGTAGTATCCGTTCACCTAATGTTCAAGGTGTTTTTTGCCAAAGAGTTGTTAATGTCTCTATCTCTATGTTTACCACGTGATACCGTGGATCTGTAGGCTATAAGAAGTCACAGGGAAACGAAGGGAGTGTCACACATTCTCTAGCGTGAGCATGTGACATGCTCATATTCTGGTCTGAGACTGTTTATAATAATAACATCAATAGGCAAGAAAGATCAGGATGGGATTCGAACCCGTGTAGCTCACGGTGGTTATGCTACTAAACGTACAGCTTTAACCACTACTCCACTGGGCTGCATATTATGATACGTAGATAATGGTGCACGACTTTATCACGATATGCAGACTCCAATCACAGAAACCTCACTTCTTGGTAAAGGGGTGTTATGAATCTATGGAATGGCCTATTGGTTCAAGTGCTGAACGTTGAGGGATACTGGCTAGTCATGATATTTGCCTCGTTTTTCAAAGAATGGACGGAATTAATCACCAGTCAAGGTACAGTCTTAGGACCTGTCCTGTTCAACCTATATGTAAATGATCTTTTTAACCTACACACAAAATTATCGGGTTCGCAGATGATACGGCTGTTTTTTATAGCGAAAAATCTTGGGATATCTTAAAGACTCTTATTGAAGAGGATTTCAGAGTCATTATAAGCTTCTTCAATAATAAAATATTAACAATCAATTATGAAAAAACTTTATATCTGAATTTTTCATGTGATGATAGGAACAGTCCCACATTCACTAACATACACATCAAATTACCACCCATAGATGAAATAGTGGTCCTAAAGCCAGCAAATCATATAAAATACCTAGGAATCATAATAGACAGCCACCTAAAATGGGACAAACAAATAGAAAGCTTAACGAAGAGATTAAGATGTCTTATACCAAAATTTAATTTTTTTAGGGAAATTCTTTCTGATAAAGACTTATGCACCATATACAAAACGTTAGTACAACCATTGCTAACTTATGGAATTTTGGCATCGGGACCGGTGTTGAATAAATACTACAGGAAACTAGAAATAACTCAGAAATGGATTCTTAAAACCATGTTCCGCAAAACTAACACATATCCAACCGATATGATATATAAGCTATCCAAGATATGTGATTGTAGGCAACTCTATTTTGAGAGTGTGTTCACATATATTACAAAACATAAGCATTTATTAAATTTCCTCCCTCATGACCATCACACCAGATCCAAAGATCATTCAGTACGCATACCAAAGCCTAAAAAGACCATAGGTCAGAGGAGTTTCACTTTCCTAGGACCAAAAATATATAACTTAATCCCCCCTCAGATAAAAGATATTAAAAATACAAAGGTTATGAAAAGGCATCTACGACTGTGGATTTTGGACCAGCACAGGCTCAAAATTCATCAAGCGATTGATATCAAAAATATCTACTACTACTGAAAGCGGAAATCTCTCTAGATATTTGAAAGTTCAAAATGAAAAAAAAATGTATAAATCAAACTGTTTGAATTCTTATCCCCTGAATTACTGCATTTTATGACTTATTTTTACCAATTTTTGTTCTTGTCTATTCACCTAATACTGCCTTTTGTTTCAATATTGTCTCTATCCCGATTGCGTCTACGTTCCGATTTTGCGTCTCCGTCCCGATTGTGTCTTTTTAAAAATTTTACCAGGACTTGTCTAATGAATTTTATATACATATAGTTTTTTATGTTTTTTTTTAGTCTTAAGTTATTTATACATGAGCTCATGCCCAAGCACAAGTTTCTGCGAAACTTTTTTGGGTCCATTCGTTTATTGTATATTGTCTTTCATCTACTACTGCTATACCTTTTCTCTTGCAATAAACTTATTATTATTATTATTATTATTAATGCTTTTAAGGTGATGCACTGTAATGCGGATAACTAGATATCAAAAGTATGTATAGGTGCCAACCGTCAGGATGGTACCTAGAGAACTGCGTGAGTCAGGCCTAAGGACATCAATAAATACACCTTTTTCCCACATACCAGACAAAGTCAGGGAGAAATAAGGGAAGAGCTTAAATGTTGGCATTTTAAGTTGGTCCTAAAATGAATTTTGAGGTTGCTTGTTGTAAAAAAATAGATATGGTTGTCCCTAAGGTCGCACGATTTAATTTTGTTCACAGCGCGAGCCGTCGTCTTGTGTGTTTGGGAACTTGCTCAACTGTTTAGTCGGCTGATTCACGTAACAAACATTACATTATTCCACTTGACCACAACGTAGCTGCGTCTATTGTTTGATGTAGTCCCTTAAGTAAGGAATATCGAGGCGTCTGTGAAGGATCCCATTGGAGACATACCATGGGTCGTTAGTGATTGTGCTTACGGATCTGTTCCGCAAAACCTGCAGACTACGCACCGACAAGAAAACACCAAACCAAATGATTGTCTAATAACCATCTTGTATAGCCGAACTGTGCTTATCAAACTTAAGTTTGAGGTTGTACGTAGCATAGGGTATGGCTGCCAAAATGTAATTTGGAATTTGGTCTTTCAACGCTTCAGAGTGCTTCTGCCAGGTAATCCCCCTGTCAGGAGTGACACCAAGATACTTGGCAGAATACTTCGTCCACCGTACACCAGATTCCCTAAGGATACCATATCGATGGTTACAACTGTGTTTATGGAGAACACATTTTACGAGTATTTTATGATATGAAACAGGTCAGTAGGGAGGATATTGCACGTCACTCTTCAAAAGTGTTCTTATAGGTACGTATCTTGAAAATTTCCAAACGGAGTAAATCTATGATCACCATTTATCAACAGTATATAATCTTACCGGTCTAACAGAAGTTTCAACTTTATTCCAGGAACTATGGCGAGGAGCCCTCAATTGGGCAGCATGGCGGACGCTCCTCCTCTTCGTCTTCTTCATCATCTGTCCTCCTGTGTGGCTGGTGTTCACCTTGCCTCTCGGCCACAAGTACTACAAAGTGCCCATTATCAAGTTCATGTCGTACCTCACCTCACATGTCTACCTCATGCTGTTCTTGCTTATAGTTGGTATTACGCCGCCATACGCTGTTGTTAGGAGTGACCTAATACCTTATTGGTGAGTCATTAGAGCTAGACTATTATTATGATTTCGCTTATTTTAAGTCTCAAAAATTATTTTTACGGCGTAAATTCATCGCTTCGTCAGGTAAAAAATATAGACAACAGCGTTTTAGTACAGATGCTAGGTAACGTAACTTGCTTAGATTCACTTTTTCCACTCATAAGGGAATTGCAAGAGGTTTGGGACAACATAATAGTGCAAGGAATAGGAACGGATACAGACGAAAACTAAACAAAAAGTATTGTCACGTTATTCACATTGAAGTTTCTTTTTGTTACAGGTATGAGTGGATTCTTTTGATATGGTTAAGTGGCCTGCTGCTTTTCGAGCTAACAAATCCAAGCGACAAATCAGGACTTGGTTGGATCAAGCTCTCCGTCTTGCTCTTCAGCATATTCGGTGTGGGCGTTCATGTCCTTGGACTTTTGTTCATAAAGAAGAACCATTGGCCCACATTGATGTACTGCCGGAACCAGTTGTTTGCCTTGAGTTTCGTGTTGGCATGCGTGCAGATATTGGACTTTTTGTCATTTCACCATCTGTTCGGCCCTTGGGCCATCATCATTGGAAACTTGATGAAGGATTTAGCCAGGTTGGTATACGAATTTTCTATACAAGGTGTCTCCCAGTATGTAGATTTCTGCAAAAGGTTGTTATATTGGCCTCCAAGATGACACTACCTTAGATTCCAATATTCTCATATCCATCACGCGAAACGAGAACTCATACGCTGTAATGTTTAACTGTTCGAACTGTTCGATTGTTTCACATGTTAGGTGATACGTTGAACCACCTTACTAAAACCAGTCCGCTAGCGTTTATTCCCTTCACCAACGAGGATATGTGAGTTATTGGTGATCCTCCACCTCACTTCAAATCTCTTTCCAGGTTTCTGGCGGTCTTGGCCATATTTGTGTTTGGGTTTTCAATGCAATTTGTGGCCTTGAATCAACCTTTCAAGGATCTAGAGGATAGCGAGGTGTTAAAATTAAATAAATACAAAGTATTGCCAATTGACAGACCTCTGTTTCACGCAGGTATGTTTCTTTCCTATAAACTTTAATGCGATTTTACCTGTATTACTCAAACTCATCCTTAAGACCAAAGCCTCTTGCTAAATTTTGGCTTTGTTCAACATCTTTTTTGAGATATCTTTCAACAAAAACAGACAGGTCATTTTACTGATGATTCCAACGAGTTTTAGTGTAACATATAACTTTATAGATGTAGATGTATCCAATTATCTTGTTGAACTGAAAAACGAAAGTAGTCGGTCTGTGTATTATACAAAAAAACATACATCAAGGTTATAATGCCTATAGAACTCAGTAAACAAAAATGACCTTTTTGATTTTTCTATTAGCAATTTTATTCACAAGTCTCTCACTTTTCAGCCTTGTATAAATGTCTGCAAACTTCGAACAGCTTGAAAAGCAGTGCTCCACAATCACTGTACATTTTTACTTCTGATCTATCACCATCCTACCTCTAGCTTCCACCATACACAATTTCTAATCCTATATTTTCTCTGTATATACTTAACCTTATAGAGCGCGAGCCTCTGGATGCAGAATGGTTGGATGACGTCATACCAATGGCGTCGCCCAGTGGCAGGTTGAAAAAAAAGGGTCCGCGGTACGATACGGGGAGTAAGTTTTCTGTGACGCCTTGGTAGAGAGCCAGCAGATCGTGTTGTCTAACTGTGTGTCCTGGTGTCTATCTACTCGTATGTGCCGTTATAGTGGAAGTCTAGATCATATGATTTGACATGGAAGTGGGATGTCTTTCAGATATTCTTGTACAGCAGAACAAATTCAACCAAATGATCATAGTCTAGTTTCAAGGTGGAAGAGGGCATCGCAATTCATAATACGCCTTTTCTTTGGTCATGCGTCTTTGTGCACGTGTGCGCGGATCTAACTGTGCTCAGAAAAATTGTTAATATACTGAGTGACAAAAAAAGGTATACACCTATGTATGTTTATTAGAATTCAATAATTTTTTACATATCGATTTATCTTTCCATGAACAACAAGTGATATTGCTTATGGTAGCATATCACCACTAATTATCATCAGAGGCAATATGACAGCGCGACGCTATGTTGAGGAAGTAGTGGAGCCTCATCTTATTCCATATCTAAACAGCATCCAAAACTCAGTAAGACAATGCCAGACCGCATGCTGCCAGAGCATCGTTAGCCTTCATCGCATCAATCGTTTACCTTGACCACCACGATCGCATGACCCATCTCCAATTGAACATATCCGGGACATAATAGGTCGCAGGCTCTTGAATTTGCAACACCCTCCACAGACTTTAGCAGCTCTAGCTCACGAAGTTGTAGTAGCCTGGAATGAGATACCTCAACAGAATATCGACCACATTATGAGCATGATGCCCAGGCGGGTCAATGAGTGTACAAGAACTTCACAGAGCTTCTGCAGTCAGTTGACGAATCAAGCTGAAAATTTAATCATCTAATTAGTAAGGGACCCTGAACATATGTGCCAAAAATTATTAAAATCGGATAAACATACGTAGGTGTTTTCTTTTTTGGTCACTTACTATATTTGCGTTACCCTAACTTCTCAAGAGCCTCAGACCGACATCATCATTGAATAGCTAAACTCACTGTATGTTTGCTATACTTACCATGAATATAAAACTAACAATATAAGTTTGCCCTTGTTTGCTGTTCATGTTTCCTATCTATTTTCTTTATCATCCTCGAAGGTAGTTTCATTTACCTTTTATCTTTGGCGACTGAATACACTCCTGAGTGAGAGAAACTTCCAAAAAAACTCAAACGTCACCGTCAACATGTCTTTTTTATCGCGTGCTGAATATTCATTGCTTAAGATACTCGTATTTCGCAATAGACTGAGATGTAGAATGAAATTATATAATCTATAAATTACGATTAAGTTGCTGCGGTCAGTAGTCGCAATTAAATTGGATTCATAGTTTTCAAGGTTTTGTATCTGAAAACACGCCTACTTCCTGTCAAACCTAATCCTTCCTATTCTTGTGTAGTAGGAAAAACAAAACAAACTGTGTATCGTGACGTCATACCTAGATGTAGCTCTAGTCGCAGACAGCTAACCACACCTTGGACCGTTGACATGTTGTGTCGTTTGTAGCTCTACTTGTTTAGGCGCCCTGTGATGCTTTTTTGTTTTGTCTCCATACCATGTCTGTCTCTGTCTGCCTCATAATATGTGCGTCCGATGTAAGTGTTACCGTTGTGACAGATTGTTGTACACAAAGGTTTTTGATAACAATAATGACAGAGATAGATAGTAGTTTCGAACCTTAAGGGTCGTATCGTCAGTCATTCGTACAATTACATGATGCGTTTTTAGCCTCCTTGATTTTCATAGTTTTTCCTGTGCTTCAGCAAGGCGCTCTATTTTGAGGTTATTTTACAAATATCTATTTGCATCAAATTTTTCATGCTTTTGATTTGTATCATCTATCTTATAAGCCTAAAATTCAAAAAGAAAACATAATTAGGAGAACGCTGACATGGAACAATAGAAATCTAGAAACACCGCAGCCTGTCTGAAGGAGAGAAAATACTATGAAAATCAAGGATGCCCTAGGCGTCCTACAATTGTGGGAACGACTGACTATACGGCCCTAAAGTTTAGTCATGTTTCAAATCGCGTGACGCATAGTACGCCACTGATCTAGGCACTGTCTTGCATACGAATGCGCAATGGAATCTGCGCACACATACATGCATAATGCTTCTTATATTAGTAGCGTACCACGAGCTGTGTGCAAGTTGACTTTTGGCAGTACGTTAGTCAATAAAATATATAAATCTTGTCTGATCGGAGATTAGTCAGCTTTCAATTTTTACTGGATACATTGTATTGATTAACTTTTGATCTTACTGTAACTGCCTGTATTTTCGTAGTTTTTGCCACATATAGGATTTTTTTAGCATAAGCAAGCTAGCGCCTTCATGTGAGTTTTAAGCCTAGCAATATAAGTTTTGTGAATATCATTCTATCGTATGATGCTTAACTTAAAAATCTGTAGAAGCTACTACTTAGATCGTACTTCAAATAATGCATAAGGTCTTTTAGTTCAGTAGGTGACATTCAGGCAGTAGCAAATGTACAAAATGAAGTAGAGCTATGGTGCATATTTGGACGCATATCTACATATACTTTCATTCATAGTATTTACTGCACATCCATCAATAATAATTTTATGTCGACATTGTAAATAATTCGTGCATATTCGTTAATAGCTTTGAATTCATTTTTACAGAAAAAAACCTTTGTGTACGAGTGTCTACTTGTGAGGTCTAGGAATATCATCATATATGCACAATCCTGTTGTAACTATTCTTTTTACATTCGGTATCGGTTGCAAAGAGTAATAGCTCGTATGTCGTTGTAAACTCATATTTATTTTATAGACCAACTACAAACAACAGCTATAGTATACGGTTATATTATATTTGCCTTTCAAAAAAATGTGACATGATAGGTTTAATCAACCATTATACACATACCTGTATTATTTTTGAAATCCAATAGTCCAAGATCAGACGGCTGTCAGACATACTTCTGAAACACAACGACAAGGGGAATTTATAAGCAGGCACCTATAGGATCCATTGCCTGACAAAATCGAACCACTTATAAGGTCTTGAAAACAACAAGATAAGTTTCAAGAGTAACGTTAACCATAGGGACATTGAGTCAGGTAGACAGCCGAGGTACCAAGTAAGAAATTTAAGTAAAAATAGGTATAACTTAAATTCTGAAGACTAATTTCATATACATTGCAGTAGATACGTTATAACAAAGTAATATTCAGCATTGCCGCATCTGGCCGTAGCTTCTGAAATACACACAAAAATTGACTTTCCTCTAACTTTTTGAATAACCATTTGAATAAAGTTTACTTACAAAGGTTATAGTGTAACATTTATTTATTTCCCCACACTTTTTTGTTGCTTAAAGTAATGAAGAGATCTATGACAAACCAAATATACTTGGAATCAGAAAAAATGTAACTACCATTTTCATTAAAAATGTTCAAAAATATACAACCATATTCGATAGCACGTTTCTGAGTTACTTTGTATACAAAGTGGCATTACAGAAAACGTTTTGCATAACCCTAAAACATTTTCTCTAAACGGTTTTGCGAAAAATTTATGGAGAGGTTATATTATAGCGGGACACCCTACTTAAAATTTTCAAACGCTTAGCGTAAGTTGTGGCCAGAGGGAAATGTCTGACAGTGCTGGATAACCTACAATAATAATTTTTTGCAAATTATAAGTGAAAATCGGCTAGCAGAATTTGGTTTAGTTAGACCTACTTTTGGTTACCTTTCTCGGTACCCAATGTACCTCGTTTTACCTTTCAGAAGGTACATCTGTCAGCCCTAGGATATTACTCCATAACATCTGCTTAATAGTCACTGAAGAATATCTCCCCATGATGGAAAAGTAAAATTATTTTGATGCCCTATTTGAAAATAAAGGGTGGGCCATCCGTTGGTTTCTTTTTTAAATTGGTATTAAAAGTATACTTTATTCAAAATAATTCACCTTCCGATTATTTATGAAAAATATTTTCTGTTAAATGACTGCCGTGGCTGGCCTGGCACTAGTCCATCCTCTTAACCCAATTTTGAAGCACATGTTCGATAACTTGTGGGTCTATTTCATCGATAGCTAGACGGATATTTTCCTTAAGAACCTCAATTGTTTGAGGATCGTTAATGTAACAGCAGTCCTTAACAGTACCCCTTAGGAAGTAAGTCAAATCAAAGATGCGGGCTAGCCAATGAACGTCTCCAAAACTCCTTTTTGATGCATTGCTTTTTCTATGACAAGTGGATTTTCAGAACCCCAAATCCAACAGTTCTGCTTCTTAACTTAACCTCCCAGATGGAAAAAGATGATTTGGCGACCAAAATTGACGTCCGTTTCCAATTGATTTAGAGCCCACACAGAGAAACGATATCGAAGCGGATGGTCACTTAGACTCAACTCTTTCACAAG